CTGACCGGCGGCGGAATAGGCGCGGGCATGAAAGTTGGAGGTCGCTCTGCACGCTTTTGAGGGAAGCGTATGAGCAGACCGCCATCTAGCAGAGGGCGGGCAGAGATGAGCGGCGACCGAGTCCTCGACGGGCGGCATGGCAGTATAACCCTTCTCGGCAGCTCCGTCCACTGAGCGCAGCGAAGCGGACACATCAGAGCGATTACGAGCCGAAAGAGGAGCATTCCAGGACTTCGTGAGCTCGCTGTGAAGCTCAGGCAGGAAGGGTGCAGCCCGGCTGCAAGCGGGGGCCGGGCGCCGGTGCAGGAACTTTCCATCCATGCGGTTCGGTGGTTGCTCAGGGGGAGGAGACCACTCGAGACCCAGGCGGCTAACGGCCTGAGAAAGGAGGCGCGTTAGTTCCTCCTCGATGCCGGCGCGGGTCCCCGCAGACTCTCTAGTCGATGAGCCGATCGACGACCAATCCTCGCTGTCCGAAGCGTGCAGCGAACAAGAGTCCTTCTCATCCGCGGTGTCCTCGGAGGCGACAGAGCGGCCACTCGGCGGCAACTGTAAGTCCGGCAGGGGCGGAGAGGGAGAGCGGTCGGTGGGCGGCGGCGGCGGCCCACATGGATCCGCAGAGGGCTCCGGCGGCCTCTGGGAGCGGCGTTTCTTCTTCCGCGGCGAAGTTAGAGGCGGCGCTGGAGCGGTTTTGACCGCCTGTAGTCGAGCCCGCAGGGTTGACAGCGGCAGGTCCTCGCAGTGGTCGCATCCTCCGTTGGCGAGGGCGAGTTCTGCGTGTTCCACTCCGAGGCAGAGAGCGCAGATGGGGTGGCGGTCTCCATCCTCGAGCGGAGAGCGGCAAGAGCCGCAGGAATTACGAGGCATCTTTAAAAAGACGCTCGTGCTCTTTTAGCAGGAATAATAAGAAAGGATACGCGTCGGATGGCGCTAACTTGCTGGGCGGCTGAAGGTGGCAGACGGCCGGCTTCCTCAGACTCCGGAGCTCGCTAGACGGTGCCTTCTCAACGACGGCGGCTTCTTCCCAGAACAGCGGATGCGTGTAGCTCGCTGAATGAACAAGAATCGACGAACGAGCTGGGAGAGCGACCTTTATACACTGTAGCCACGCCCCTTTTGGCGGGCTGTGACGCAGTAAGCGAGCGCCGTCCGCTCATTGGCCGCGGACTCAGCGCCGCTCTCCCATAGGTTCGTGCATTCTCTCTGAGCGAACCAATGAGCCGCTAGCTAGCCCGCTCATGGTCTGCCTCAGAAGAGACTGCGTTGACAATGATTACAAAATTATGGATAATTTTTTGGCTTCAACTTCTCAGCAAAGATGAATCTTTCCCGTAGCGTAAGCTAGCTTACGCAATACGAGAGAACTTCTCGTAAGAGAACTTAGTAACCTACTGGTATGACCAAAACCCCGACATCCGTGCATATTATATGACTATTTTATGAATTAGCATTCAGTGGTGGTTAAATCAATATATAACAAACTTTCATTTAGTGACCTGTTCTTTGTCACATTAACTTAGCAGATTATTTTATCCAAAGCCATCTTTGGAGAAATACAAGCTACAATGGCATAAGCTTGCAATACAAAGTTTCAAACATTGTTCAGAAAAGCTATGAAACTGGGGGAAAAGCAGTTGTTTTTTGAGTCACTTGCTCTGCCTTGCTTAAAATGAGCGGCTCGTTCAGATGAGCTTTTACACGATCTTCATTCACATTATGGAAACTGAGATAAATGACGAATAAGGATAAACAAATATGACGATTTGCATTTTTTGTTAGGTGATATGATTTACATCATCTTATGGAAATGATATGTATTATTAATATTAATACAAATAATTATTATTTTAAGGACAGATCATCTGCTGGCCAGACATGAGATTCACAGAGAGACTGATGATGGTCGTGTGCTTCAAGCTGCCCCAAAAAACATCTGTATGAAAGCCTCCTCACGCCCCTCGCTGATGCTGATTTCATAAAAATCTATTTCAGACTGTTAGCTGAACACACAGATGACGGGGCCAGACTTTTATCAACCTTTCCACTTAAAATATCCATCAAATTTACGCGCTGCTTTTCCCCGTGACTGAAGCTCTCCTCGGATTTGATCTGACAAAGGCAAAATAAACATTTCATCATTTGGTATTTTAGTCTCCGGTGAAAGCTCAGAACCTCTGCTTGGTGTTCAATTTGTTTTGACTGAACCAAACTATTTTACCACTCCAGTTTTTAACCAAATTGAAGGGAAGAAAACACACGCGTGAAGGGGCTCGTTGACGCACACAAACGCTGAGCGGGCAGGTTGAGTCTATAAAGTTCTCATGTGTTTTTTAAGAGGGCAGCGCCGCGAGAGCGCGCCATTCATTCATTACTGAAACTAGAGAGATTGAAAGACTGTAAATCCGAACAGAGAGAAATGGCAGAAACTGCTCCCGCAACCGCTGCTGCCGCCCCGGCCAAAGCACCCAAGAAGAAGTCCGCTGCGAAACCCAAGAAAGCAGGGCCAGGCGTCGGCGAGCTCATCGTCAAAGCAGTGTCCGCATCTAAAGAGAGGAGCGGCGTGTCCCTCGCCGCGCTGAAGAAAGCGCTCGCTGCCGGCGGCTACGACGTAGAGAAGAACAACTCCCGCGTCAAGATCGCCATCAAGAGCCTGGTGACTAAAGGCACCCTGGTGCAGGTCAAAGGAACCGGCGCCTCGGGCTCATTCAAGCTCAACAAGCAGCAAGCCGAGACCAAGAAGAAAGCGGTCAAGAAAGCGGCTCCTAAAGCGAAGAAGCCCGCGGCCAAGAAACCCGTTGCTGCCAAGAAGCCCAAGAGCGCAGCGGCAAAGAAGCCCGCCGCCAAGAAATCGCCCAAGAAGGCCAAGAAGCCCGCAGCCAAGGCCACTAAGAAGGCGACGAAGAGCCCCAAGAAGGCAAAGAAGCCAGCAGTCGCTAAGAAAGCAGCTAAGAGCCCTAAAAAGGCAAAGACTGCTAAACCCAAAGCCGCAAAACCTAAAGTCGCCAAGCCTAAAAAGGCAGCGCCCAAAAAGAAATAAAGTCCCGTGTTGGTTCCTCAACGGCTCTTTTAAGAGCCACCCAATAACTCTGAATAAGAGCAAAACTCGTTTATACATTTGAGTTCACGAACAACCCGTTTTGAAGAAAAATAACTCAAAGGTACATAACTATTTATTTGTACGAGATTTATTATAAATTCCCAAAAAAGCTGGAGAGGATTCAGACGGTGATCAACCTAAATATGTTGTATTAGAATATATGAAGAATATACGTTTCACTACACTAAGCTGAAGAATTGTGACAATACAATCAGCCCACACATATCCAACCAAAATGGGCAGTTATAAACCTCCAATATTACAATAGGAACATAACAGTGCAGTATCAGATGGTGATTGTGCCCAGGATATACAGTGTGAGAAAGGTGCAGAACTTTTGGCAGTAAAAGCGTACAATACCCCTTTTTTAAACTTAAATTGTGTATGACCAAAATGTCTACGGTTTCCTCTTCTCTGTCTTAAAGGTCATTAAGTGCACATCTACGCCGAAAAGGGGGTTGGACTTTCAGGGGGAAGTTCAGTGATTGGTTTGAATCTTTACAGACTCTAAACCAATGGGCGACTGGCACTCTAGATTAAAACCAGTCTCTGGAGATACACTTACTTCATATTATTTCATTCGGTTGTATTAACTGACTTGAAAATGAGTGGCAGAGGCAAAACCGGCGGTAAAGCCCGAGCAAAGGCTAAGACTCGCTCCTCCAGGGCGGGACTGCAGTTTCCCGTCGGCCGTGTTCACAGACTTCTGCGCAAAGGAAACTACGCCGAGCGCGTCGGTGCCGGAGCTCCTGTTTATCTGGCGGCGGTACTCGAGTACCTCACCGCTGAGATCCTGGAGTTGGCAGGAAACGCCGCTCGGGACAACAAGAAGACTCGTATCATCCCCCGTCACCTGCAGCTGGCGGTGCGTAATGACGAGGAGCTCAACAAACTTCTGGGCCGAGTGACCATCGCTCAAGGCGGCGTGCTGCCAAACATCCAGGCCGTGCTGTTGCCCAAGAAGACCGAGAAACCCGCCAAATCAAAGTAAACGGAGCGAAGGTTTCGTTATCAAAACAAAGGCTCTTTTAAGAGCCACCATTTTATCTGTCAACGAGCGCTTTTCTCTTTTAATATTGTTACCAACATAAATGAATTATTCAGAGTAAAATGGCCCATTTAACGACTAGCGTCAACACCGACGATTAACGTTACAGATATATCCTTTTTTATGTATAAGCATACTATGCACATTATATATCTGTCTTACATAAGTACATTATGATCCTCTAATATGTGTTTATCACCAATTAAATCTATTTGTCTGTGAAGCTCTGATAATATATTGAATAAATTATTCATAAAAAGGAAAGTAACATATAGGCTATATCGGCTTCAGGGAAAAAGGATTTGGTTAATGTTCCTCTGGGTATTTTCCCCTTTAGTAGCAGGGCTATCTACTATTTCACCGGGAGGATGGACACCTTAGTAGTGCGTCTCGCTGCAATGCTTTTATACAGACTGTAATGTGATTTTGTTGTAATCCGAGATCTGCACATTGCACAACGACATATTGCGTTCATGTGCTATGGTAAAGCCGACGTGGAAAATGGACATGAACACCCCCTTATGTGGTATTTTCCACTGGGCAACTAGTAGAATATTTTGATGGACGAGTTGCCGAGATGAGATAACCTTTGATCTTTTCAAAATGGTGGAGAGCATGTTAAAATGTATACTATTCATGATCTACATAGGCTACAGCATATTATTTACCTTTTGACTTTTGATAAATCATTTTCTTGCTGTTGCAGATGACTTAAGGTCTTAAGCAATCTAAAATAGTTTTAGCTAAATAACAGGTCTGGATCTCCATCTTTTTACCACACTACGACAACAAAAGCACTTGAACGAAACACACTGATAAATACCAGTTCACAAGTGGAAAATATCCTATTTTCCATAGCACGTGAAATACTAATAAATACAGTGTTGTGAGTAAAAAGGCGCCGAAACTAATCAATGGAAACCCTCCGCTTGTTTGAAAAGAGGAAACGCGCAGTCATTGGCTGGCACTCATGCGCTGACGTCACGTACTAACCAATCACAAGGCCTGCGTCATCGCGCACAATGGGCTCGTGGCGCTCCAATGCTTTAAAATCGGCCGTTTAATACAGAGAGCAGCATTTCCAGCATTAGCAGGACAAAGAGAAGAAACTCGCAACAATGGCAAGAACCAAGCAGACCGCTCGTAAATCCACCGGTGGTAAAGCCCCGAGGAAGCAGCTCGCTACTAAAGCCGCTCGTAAGAGCGCTCCGGCCACCGGCGGCGTCAAGAAGCCTCACCGCTACCGGCCCGGGACCGTGGCTCTGCGGGAGATCCGCCGCTATCAGAAGTCCACCGAACTGCTGATCCGCAAACTGCCCTTCCAGCGGCTGGTGAGAGAAATCGCTCAGGACTTCAAGACAGACTTGCGCTTCCAGAGCTCCGCTGTCATGGCCCTGCAGGAGTCCAGCGAGGCTTACTTGGTCGGTCTGTTCGAGGACACCAACCTGTGCGCCATCCACGCCAAGAGGGTCACCATCATGCCCAAAGATATTCAGCTGGCCCGCCGCATCCGCGGAGAGCGCGCTTAAACCGGCGTCTGATTCAACCCACAACGGCTCTTTTAAGAGCCACTAAAGTTTAACTGAATGAGAGAATCTCTAATATAACATTAAAATTAAGTGTAAATTAAGCATCAGGGTCCTGCGCAGCATATTTGAGTAAATTAACTTCCAGGTCTGAATAATCAGGAGATGCAGTACAGTATTTTGAACACACTCAGCGTTTAGCAGTTAACTGCTGTAACATTGTTTTGTTTTTTTGACTATTTATTATGGGATGACAATCGCTTAATGTTCATTTGGAACAAATACTCACTTTGGACGTTAAATGCTAAATATACTTTATATATTAAAATTCAAAATAAATGCAAAAAAGGTGCAACTTGTATTGCTCATTCACAAAGACCCTGGTAGCTTTTTGCCACAAAATTTCGTTTGTTAACATAATGATTAAAGGGATAGTTCACCCAAAATTCTGTCATTTACTCCCTTTCAAATTGTTCTGACTAAACATACAATTTCCAAACATCGCTTACTTAATATTAGGAGTATCTGTACAATTATCAATATATGCAGGTTAAAAAGCGACAATGTTCATATGGCTTGGTTAAAATGTTCTCTTTTTCATGATGCTGGACATTTCGATATTGTGAAAAGTACTTTTCTTAGCCAAGCAGCGGATAACAACCGTGAACTTTGTAGCATTTTCAGTCAGTCTCGGGCGGTCCGCTCTTGTTTGCCAGATTTGGGCCACAATCGAGCAATAAGAATGTCACATGACAGCCATAAACAAAACAAATGAAGCAGAATTGGCCCACATGTGGGCAACAGTTAGTTTTAAATCCGGCCCAACTCATTTCAATTTGTTTTTCTCAAGTCTAGGTTATATAAAAAGTAACATGAAAGATGCTTTGCTGATCATTTTCCACACTGTTTTTGTTTGCGGCCAGTAAAGTTGTTAGAGTATCAAACATAATCCGGCATTTTAGTATTGCAGTTTTAAAACAATAATTGAGTTGGTCGTGTTGAGCTTGTTGTTTGTGTTGAAGGGGTGGTCAAAATCCCTTGCCTCTTCAGCATATATATATATATATATATATATATATATATATATATATATATATATATATATATATCCTTTTGAATGCTTATGTATTTCTTTTATGAAATCAATAATTAAGTATATTCATTATTACTTAATCATTTATTGTGCTTTTGCTTGTGAAATCATATTCTTAAATTCATGCTGATGTAAGTCACCAGCTTCTTTTAGGTGCACAAGGCCATTTGTCTCTTTTTCTGGTCTCAGGAGAAAGGTTTATGGGTCCTAAAGGCGTTGTGAACACATATGTCCAAAAAATATGATACTTCTCTGTACCGATGGTCAAGCTATATTGAGCATTGCTATATTGAACTTTAATTGCTGTATTAAAATGTATTCTTTCTATTATATTTCCTTTCTGGGGAGCAAATGTTATCTGTTTTTCTCCCAAACGAGTGAACGTTTTACCATTATGTTTTGGTACACTTAACTGATAATAAGCCGCTCAGACTCTCTTCAGCCTTGATGGGAGCTCTTATTTGCTAGTGTCCTATGTGAACACAGTAACAGTGAAAATAATAGTGAAATAGGGATTTGGTTTGTGTTTGAGTGTTAAAACATAAAGTGGTCATTGAAGCCAATAGTTTAAGGCACCATTTCTTTGTTAAAGTCTTACTCCAGTTGCAGGTTAAGGAACCACTGCCATTATTTGAGATTGACTGAGTTGTTGTTCTGGACATGTTCTGGACAATCTGTGACCTGGAAGGTCATGACGTGCCTCTGAGTGTCAGATGCATCATCGATGAAGATATGCTTCCGTCTATCAGTATGTGTATGGAAAATCACTGTTTATCTATTTTTCAGCCAATGAGAATCATTCAACGTGTTAGCAATGACGTAGCTTAGACCTTGGAAATGGTATAACTCCTGTGATCTTTGTAACTGTAAGGGAAGGCGGCCTACAAACACCTGTGTGAGTCTTGAAGCTGACTTCTGCTGATGAAACTGAAAACTATGTTCAGCAAACTTTTCTTTAATTTTTTATAATTCTGACTCCGGGTCTTCATTCTTCATATCTGGTTCTGGGTCCTTAGACTGTTAACCCCTAATAGTGTTTTCCCATTACTGAAAAGGTGAAACAACACAGGCATAAACAGAAGATAAAACAAATGTGCCACTCTTTTAACTCAATCCTGGTAACAAACGTCACCAATTTTTTTTCCTGACATATTTTAGTTTCTCTTGTTATGAAGCACATGTTCATTTATAATACAAATTTAACCATAAATAATACTAATTATGAAATAACAGCTAGAAAGAATAAATTACATTATATTTTACATATAAGACCAAAAAAATCTATCTATCTATCTATCTATCTATCTATCTATCTATCTATCTATCTATCTATCTATCTATCTATCTATCTATCCTTTACTGTGCTTATGATGTTATTTATGATGTTAATAATAATTACCTTCCAATTTCCTATTATTTATGTCATTTTAGTAATCATTTTATTTGGTGTTCAGTAGGCTGCAGCTGCATAAGAAAGTTATTTTGTCACTTTTGAAACTGAGCCAGAAAATATTTAGTTCTTTGTTAAGGGAATAAAACAATATTATTTAGAATTTGTGTATCATTCGTTCAGTCCTTTTTTTTTTATTATTACAGCTGTTGCGTCATCAGTTCTTCCTCATCCAGTTCCGCACTGCAGAATAATAGTCCTCCACTGCTGCAGTTGTGCGGATTCTTAAGTCGTTTTATTGCTAATACAATTAATAGTTTTCTCATCAAACAGCCAGAATAACTAATGGCTAAGGGTCACTTTTGTGACCAGACATTTTTTTTTAAATAAGAACATTGATTGTATAATAGTCCTACAAATGCCTTACTAATAAGAGAATTAAATGGGTAAACTTTGATACTGTGATATGACTTCTTGTGTCCCTCTTCGTTTAATTTAGTGACTTGTAGATAATTACCTATCAACCAGTACTAGGCCTACTGTAAAATGATATTTGTTAAATACATTTTATGAAACATGCATATTAAAGTGAAATTTTGGGGGAGGTGTGTGTGTGTGTGTGTGTGTGTGTGTGTGTGTGTCATATGACGCAAAACTGGTTTCTGTCAGGTCCTGTAAGCAAATGTAAAATGCCTCTTTGAAACCTCCAGAGTCAGATCTTTGACTTTCATTGATCGGCTCATTCGGCTGAAGTACTCAGTGTTAAACATGTCTGGAAGAGGTAAAGGCGGCAAGGGACTCGGGAAAGGAGGCGCTAAGCGTCACCGTAAAGTTTTGCGCGATAACATCCAGGGTATCACCAAACCCGCCATTCGTCGTCTGGCTCGCCGCGGCGGCGTCAAGCGCATCTCCGGTCTGATCTACGAAGAGACCCGCGGAGTGTTGAAGGTGTTTCTGGAGAACGTGATCCGCGATGCCGTCACCTACACCGAGCACGCCAAGAGAAAGACCGTCACCGCCATGGATGTTGTGTACGCGCTGAAGAGACAGGGACGCACCCTGTACGGCTTCGGGGGTTAAACGACTGAGACCAGGACAAACCACACAAACCCAAAGGCTCTTTTAAGAGCCACACACTCTGACACATAAAGAGTCAAAACTTTTGATCATGTCAAATCATAGAATTGAGTTTAAAACACTTTGTGTTCTCAATTCAGTATACATTTAATTTAAAAACTCTTAAGTAATGTTCCACAGTGATGCATCCAGAATATCACTTTCTACTTAAAACAGAATACTCCCAATTAAACCGTTTGGTTTTGAATAAAACGTTAATCCATTTCATGAGTGCTTCCCCACAAAATCATTGCGAAAAAATAAAAGTAATTAGATGAAATGGTAACAGTTAGCAAACATGAGAATGCAGAAACGTAGATTTATTTCTGTTTTTAAAAATCTAAACAGTTTCATGAACTAATTATGTTTCTAAAGTGTATCAGATCATATTGGTCTCTTTTCTCCCAAACTCGCTCAATGGGTTTATAAAAGGTTTTAAAATTACACGACCATTCACAATATCAGAACCACTTATTATCCTCCAAAAATATTACTAAATAAAAAGAGCGGGAAACTAAACAAATGAAACTCTGTGGAAGTGTGTAGTTCAAACGAGACGGTGGGCGGAACTATATTTTATCCACACCTGTGATTGGCCCTCGTTCCTCTCAAGTTGTCCAATAAAATTTGAGTTTGTGGGTTTGGTCTATGAAAACAGACAATCAGATAACTGCCTAACACTTTGAAAATTAGCATAGAGCAGTGAATAAATCCTTCTGTATCGTACTGTAATTTACATTAATTCGTCAGTCTTGTGAAATCGCATCATCATGCCTGAACCAGCAAAGTCCGCTCCTAAGAAGGGATCCAAGAAGGCCGTCACCAAGACCGCCGGTAAGGGAGGAAAGAAGCGCAGAAAGTCCAGGAAGGAGAGCTACGCCATCTACGTCTACAAAGTGCTGAAGCAGGTCCACCCTGACACCGGCATCTCCTCGAAAGCGATGGGTATCATGAACTCTTTCGTCAACGACATCTTTGAGCGCATTGCCGGTGAGTCGTCTCGCCTCGCGCACTACAACAAGCGCTCCACCATCACTTCCAGAGAGATCCAGACCGCCGTGCGTCTGTTGCTGCCCGGAGAGCTGGCCAAACACGCCGTGTCCGAGGGCACAAAGGCCGTCACCAAATACACCAGCTCAAAGTGAGGCGTGCCCGACTTCAACTACCCCAAAGGCTCTTTTAAGAGCCACCCATCTTCTCAGAGAAGGAGCTTTTGTTTTATAAAATACAGTCTTGAATTTAAGCGCACGTTTCATAACCGTGATCCATCTCTTTCAATCTGTGGTTAGTTTAAAAATGCGAAAATGTTAATTGTGTTTCTTCCTAATTTTTTTTTGTGTGCAAGTGGCCTAGCTTACATTACTTCTTAATTTGTGTAAATCTTATCAAACCGCAAACTGTTCCTAACATTTGAAGTGTTACAACAACAGGCATTCATGTATCATTATACCAATAATAAAAAGATACCAATGAAAGTGAAATTATTCTATCACTGTTTATTCTATTTTTACGAGAAAGGTTCTAAAATATCTATAAAAAAAAAAAAAAATCCTAAAACCAGTTTGCAGAGATCCAGACAAAATTACCATTATGTGCTGACACTTTAAGAATAAAGATGGTGTTTACTGTTTGAATGACATGTGGATGGACATTTTTTATTTTTATAGTTTTTGTTGATTAGTGGAAACTAAAATCATTTTTGCATCACGTATATTGAGATACTTTATTTTTTTAGATACTTGCATGGCATTTAAGCAATTACTTGAGATACAACACTGAACGATAATAAGATTTATTCCAGTAAAGTAATTACTGGTGTCTTTGTGAACAATGGCTGTGCTAATTCCAGTTACAATATCTTATTGGTCATTAAATTCACATGCTAAATAAGTTAATATTAGCTCTAGCTGTTCATTTGAACCAAAATAGATTAGAGGGCCACCGCTTCCTTTATAAGTGAGTTATGTTGAAATTAGTTTAAACAACAATTTTATATTCATTATGTAATTCATTTAGTAAATGAACTTATCAATCTATTTATATCTAATTCAATGTTGTTTGTAGAAAATAATTTAATTAGAAACTGTGACAAGTTTAATTTATGCAAACTGGGTTTAATTTGCTACAAAATGAAATACAATATTCACTAACACAAATAACTAAGATGTACAGTGTAATAAAATACACTGCTAATATTATGGTAAAAATCAATTACTTCTGATTCTTATATATTTGTTGATACAAAGGATTGCTCTATAACGTATGTCAGGGCTTAATATGTAAATTTTGAGGTTGGTGTTGTGCCTAATTTTGAACATGAATAAATGAGAAGCCAGAGGAGGTGGATTTGAGACACTGTTTATCAATTGGGAAATTAATTTTATTTTCCATTTCCCTTCTGTTCTCTTCGATAATTTCATGTCAATTTCAGGTTGAGTATAAGGTGGAATTGTGGATATTACTACTATATAGTCAGGCAGCCAAAGTCTCAAAAATGGGTTGAACCTGACATGGTCTGCCATACTTTTTATCTGTGTTTTTTCTGTTAATTTTGACCCTAAGAACAAATAATTGGAGGGTCTGCTCTGCCGGAAATATCGCGAAAAAAAATGGTGGCCATTTTAGTGTACGCACCTGTGTACTGTGAATTTACTGATTTCTGACAACCTTTCTGAAGTTCCTGATCATATTATGCTTTCTTTTCCTTGTATTTTAAATCAGGAGGAAACTGACAAAAGTGGAGATTCTGATGAGGAGGATCCAGAATACATTCCTGACTCTGAATCAGATACAGATACAGATAGCCCTTCACCTATATCACTATTTGTTGACACTATAACACCAGTCAACACTGTTGAAAAATCAACAGTTAAAACTTCAACTGATAAAACTTCAGAAGACAAAACTGCTGTTTCAAGCGGAGGGCAAAATTTTTGCTTTGTTTGCCAAAAGCCTGTTTTTAAAATAGCATGACATTTCAGAGCACATATAAAGGAGGACAGTGACATTGCAATGGCTCTTAGTCTCCCTGTCAGGTCAAAACCTAGGAAGGAATTACTTGAAAAACTTAGGAATAGGGGAAACTTCATGCACAACAATGACGTTCTTAAAAATCAATCTGGTTCACTCAAAGTGAAGCGAAAGGCTAAAGGCGACAACAAAAAATATACTGTGTCCACTGCAAGGGAATGTTTTTACGGCCCGAGTTGTGGAGACACATGAAGAGGTCCAAACCAGGAGACAATGAACATGGCAGAAAGCGAGTTCTCGGCCTTGCAGCAGTGGTAAAATCTGCGTGCTCTAGCACTGACAATGGCGTGGTTAAAATGCTAAGTCGTATGCATGATGATGAGATTGCAAGTATTGTTCGCAACGACATTTGCCTGCTACGGTTCGCAGAATTTCTTTACAGCAAACATGGCCATGATGCATCAAAGCATGATTATATACGTCAAAAAACCCGTCAACTTGGACGTTTCTTGCAGACTTTGCGTAGAAAGTCCTCAATTCAGTCTCTAGAGGATGCAATTAAAGCAAGCAACTTTATGAAGGTCATTGAGGCAGTAAAGGAGACATCCGGATTTGAAGAACATAACAACAGTTACAAAATTCCAAGTCTTGCCTTAAAAATAGGACACTCGTTGTTAAAAGTGAGTGACATTATACGATGTCATGCTCTCATGGCTGGAGATGAGGACCTCATTAAATCGTCTGAAGCATTTCAGAAACTTTATCAGGCGAAATGGTCAGAGTACATTTCACACTGTGCACTGAGTACCATTAGTGATTTGAAGTACAACAAATTAGGTAAACTACCACTCACTGAAGACATCCAAAAACTACACAAGCATCTAGACAAAAAAGCAGAATTGGCAACTGCAGATTTGAAGATAGTCCTCTTCAACAGAAGACGTATTGGAGAGGTCTCAAAGATGAAACTTCGGAATTTTCTTGAACGAGATAACTCCACACATGAAAGAATGGGACTGTCGGACTATGAAAAGAAACTCTGCAGCTATTTTGAGCGTGTGGAACTCAAAGGGAAAAGGGGGAGAAAGGTAGCACTACTACTAACTCCTGAAATGTCAGCTGCCCTTAATCTTATGATTGAGAAGAGAATGGAATGTGGTGTGCCAGAGGAAAACGAATACTTATTCGCTGTACCACACTGTCTGACTTACTACAGGGGACATCAATGTCTCAGGCGACTTGCTGCTGAATGTGGTGCAAAGAAACCGGATTATTTACGGTCCACTAATCTGCGCAAAGAAATAGCAACCACTTGCCAAATTTTAAACTTAAAGGAAAATGAAATAGATCAGCTTGCTGACTTTTTAGGACATGACATTTCAGTTCATAGACAGTTCTATCGACTTTCTGAACCAACAATACAAAGTGGAAAAATCTCTAAACTGCTGCTTGCTCTGGAGAAGGGGAAGCTACATGAACTGCAAGGGAAATCCCTTGATCAAATTGAAGGTATTTACACCAAGTTAATTTTTTTTGTCAAATATTATGTTTTGGTTTATTCATTATTACTGCTTCTTGCGGTCCTTAATCAACTGTTAGAGCATAAGTCCACAACTTTCCTCTTAGGGGGACCCAAGCTCTAACCCTAATCAAACCCCCATGAACCAGGAAATCAAGGTCTTCATGATCACTTGAAAAGTCACAGGCCAGTAGTGCTGGATGGTAGCCTGGTTCAACCAGACTCTAGTTCATTTCATAAATGAAATTGAGCGGAAGTGCGTAGGAGGGCGCAGCCAGGCTAGCTGGATGGAGCATGTTGGAAAGAATTTTTTTTGGATAATGGGTCCCCAGGAGCAGGGTTAAAGACATTTAACAGTATTCACTTAAAGCATTTTAAAGCAGTGGTTCTCAAACTTTTTAGCTAACGACCCCTAAACTAACATCAACGAGAACTCGCAACCCACTAACACAGCTTACAAAAAAGTTATTTTAAATCCACATGCACTTCCTATGGAAGCTTGTTTCCACCACAGAATAAAAAAATGAGGTAATTATTTTAAGCTAAAGGTAATTGCAACTTTTTATCATGCAATTCTTGACTTTTTAACTCGCACTGCAAGTTTATATTTCAAAATTATGAGAATACTGGAACTGCTCGCGGTCCTCATGCTGGCCCTGGAGGAGCGCCTCGAAACGTCGCTGTTGCTGCTCCTCCATCTTGCGCACCACACCATACTGTGACATCTTATCTTAAAATATTATTTAAAGAGCCCCTATCATAGCATTTGAAATGTTCCTATTTTTGTTTTGGGAGTTCCCAAAAACAGTTTTAGCGCGCATGCAAGGATAAAAAACACTTTATTTGTCTTATAATACACATTTATTTTTACCTGATTTGCTCAATGGCTCAAAGACATTTTTCAAACCAACTTGCGACCCCTCAATCATTCGGTTGCGACCCTCAGTTTGAGAACCACTGTTTTAAAGGGCAATATTTTACAGATCATCACTTGTATACAATTTTACAATTTCTCTAAGTGCTTATTTTATAAATGTATAAATAGTTCAAATATCAATTTAAAATATTGGTCAAGAATTGTGTTGAAGTTGAATTGTTACTCAGGTGACTCCTACAATCTTTACAGGTCTATATTGTAGAAAGAAATACCTTTTAAAGGGATAGTTCACCCAAAAATTACGTATCGTTTCCAAAATCATAAGACCTTCGTTCATCATCGGAACACAAATTAAGGTGTTTACGAGGAAATCCAAGAGCTCTACAACCATAGACAGCACAGAAAATTGCATTGTTAAGAGTGTCCTTACTATGTTTCTGTCCCTTTATAGTGGTAGTACCCTTACTGTTTACAGAGGGTCAGAGAGCTCTCAGATTTCATGAAAAAATAACTTAATTTGTGTTCTGAAGATGAATGAAAGTCCTCCTGGTTTTGCAATGTCATAATATAAGGGTGAGTAATTAATGACTGAAATATAATTAAGGTATGTATGCTGCACTCACATACACATGGTCTGGTTTCAGACCTCCTTGGATCACCAGCTTACTGCACTGGAGGAGTTTGAGTGTTTCAGTAGCTGCGTTCAAAGGACCCTTTTAATCGGATTGACGGCTCAATCGGACTAAAAAACCTTCATGTAAACACCTTAATCGATCCGATAGAGCTCGATCCGACTAGAATTTCGATCGGATTGAAAGGGGTGGTTTACTCCTTTTGTAATCCAAGCGAGAGAACATGTAAACACTTGATCGAGAACTGAACTGAAGTAGTTCAAGGAGATCGCAATTCTCGCGCATGCGTCGTGGAAATCTAAGGAAGTCTCGTTTCAGGCCAACAAGGAAGAAAAGGAATAGTCGGATAAAGTCGTTATTTTTGTTTGTTTTTTCGCACAAAGAGTATTCTCGTCGCTTGATAAACTTATAGTTGAGCCACGGTAGTCACATGGGATATTTAAACATTTTCTTCATTGACTTTCTGGGCCGTCAAGAGGCAGTCCCTTAGGCAGCCAATGTGGTAGTGAGACAGCTCCCAAATTTAATCAAAAATATCTTCATTTGTGTACCGAAGATGAACGAATGTCTTACGGGGTTGGTACAGCATGGGGGTGAGTAATTAATGACTTAATTTTCATTTTTGGGTGAACTAACCCTTTAAACATATAAACATGCATGTATATATTTAAGAAAAATATGCTATTTGTATTTATACATAAATATATGCAGTACACACTCACAGTACACACACACTCACAGCACAAGATTGTAATGTTATTTTTGTTAGAAGTAATATTTTGTTTACTGAGTGACAATGTTCTTTTTAACTCTTGTCACTGACTGACTGTCTTTTTTTTTTTTACCCAATTAAAAAAATGAATTTTCTATTGGAAGTTTTTACTCTCCTGCTAATATGCTGTTGATTTTTTCTTGGTTTTGTTAAACACCCAGAAAAAAAAAAAAAAAAAGAAAGAAAAAAAAACAGCAATTTAAAGAAGCAAAACAATCATGATCATGAATAATGTATTGACAGTAACAGCCACACCAGTTGACGAGAGAGAATCTCGTGTGAGAAATCAGAACAAATTAGTCAGAGTCAGACAAAGAAACAGAGAACAAACACTGCTGTACAAATTTAGTTTTTACATTTATAGTTTATGATGTAGCCTAGTTAAGCAACATACGGCCAGTTGTGTACGTACATACGGCAGAATTGACATGATTTTGTTGATTTTATTCACTCAAAAATGAAGTTGCAATGAGTGAATTGCACTTTTAAATAGAATACATTTAAAATTACTTCCAAAAAAGTCACTCTGCAGAACAGTCACGCATCTCTGAGCAACACACATGTTTTAGCATTTTGAACGAATCATTCAAGTCAATGATTCAGTGATCCATTCATAAAGACAGGCACTTGCCTTCGTTCTTTATGAATCAGTCGTCTGAATTAGTTGAACTAAACAATCAAACACTCTCTCATTGGTAAATGGATATATACAATAGAAAACGTAATATTGTGAAATATGTTCAATTTATAATAAACTTTTTTAATGTGAATATAGTTTAAATATATAATTTATGGACCCCATAAATTATAATTTATTCCTATGATTGAAAGTTGAATTTTCAGCATCATTAGTCATATTTTTTTTTTTTGGAAACTACATTCAAAAGTATTATATATATATATATATATATATATATATATATATATATATATACACTTTTATTCAAATTGTTATAGTAAAGACATTGTTACAAAATATTTTTTTACACATATTGTTTTAGGTTATACATAAATAACTTTTAAATTGAAATAATACTTATAGCCGCCTTGGAAAGCAGAAGAGATGGTTTAAAAAGAAATGAAAACCTTTGACCGCTTGTGAAATTGAGCTGTGCTATTGTCATTAAGACTCTTCTTTCAATAACAGAGAAAACTGATGTTACACGTATGTAGACCTTGTAATGTTTGTCAGACCCTTTAAACCAGGATGAGGCTAGGTTTGTGTGTTGTCTGTAGAGTGGCCTAGCTCATAAACCACAAATCGGCATGGACCCCATAAGCCTGTGAAATGTCACATTATTATTATTTGTGTGTTGTGACAGTGAAATTGCTATTTTGAAGCATGGTTTGTTTATGGTAGATCAAAAAAGAATTTTTGACACGACTTCCATGTCGATTGGATGTTGGGAAAGGTGTGTCCCCGTAAACCACTAAAAAGTCACATTGACCTCATAAACCACATAATATGCCTGTATGTGTGTGTGTGTGTGTGTGTGTGTGTGTGTGTGTTTGTAAGTGAGCCATGATGCTAAATATCCAGCATGTTTTTTTGAATTTTGAGAGTAGTCTAAAATTCTATTGAAATTCTGAAACTAGTAGTGAAATCATCACAGATCCATTGATTTTGTTTGGATTTTTATTATTTTTTTTGTGTAATGAGTATAGTGTTTGGTGAAAAGAATGGCATATTGCCTGATGTCATAACTTAAGGGAATAGTTGATTGCCAATGAAGTAAAGATGAAAATAGTGGAAAAAAAGTGAAAAAACACCTGTTTTTGCATTAAATTGATGCAAAATCATGTAGAAATGTGTTTTAAGAATTATTTTTTCAGTGGATGTTGTCCGCACATGTGTTCTGTGTATCTGGAATGCATTTATTGAGAACCTACCCAACCCACTAAGAATTTGATGAAAAAAAATGTTTTTTCACATTTTTTCTGATAAAAAATAAAGGGTGCGTACACTAAAATGGCCACCATTTTTTTTCGCAATATTTTTGAGACTTTGGCTGCCTGACTATATAGTAGTAATATCCACAATTCCACCTTATACTCAACCTGAAATTGACATGAAATTATCGAAGAGAACAGAAGGGAAATGGAAAATAAAATTAATTTCCCAATTGATAAACAGTGTCTCAAATCCACTTCCTCTGGCTTCTCATTTATTAATGTTCAAAATTAGGCACAACACCAACCTCAAAATTTACATATTAAGCCCTGACATACGTTATAGAGCAATCCTTTGTATCAACAAATATATAAGAATCAGAAGTAATTGATTTTTACCATAATATTAGCAGTGTATTTTATTACACTGTACATCTTAGTTATTTGTGTTAGTGAATATTGTATTTCATTTTGTAGCAAATTAAACCCAGTTTGCATAAATCAAACTTGTCACAGCTTCTAATTAAATTATTTTCTACAAACAACATTGAATTAGATATAAATAGATTGATAAGTTCATTTACTAAATGAATTACATAATGAATATAAAATTGTTGTTTAAACTAATTTCAACATAACTCACTTATAAAGGAAGCGGTGGCCCTCTAATCTATTTTGGTTCAAATGAACAGCTAGAGCTAATATTAACTTATTTAGCATGTGAATTTAATGACCAATAAGATATTGTAACTGGAATTAGCACAGCCATTGTTCACAAAGACACAATTACTTTACTGGAATAAATCTTATTATCGTTCAGTGTTGTATCTCAAGTAATTGCTTAAATGCCATGCAAGTATCTAAAAAAATAAAGTATCTCAATATACGTGATGCAAAAATGATTTTAGTTTCCACTAATCAACAAAAACTATAAAAATAAAAAATGTCCATCCACATGTCATTCAAACAGTAAACACCATCTTTATTCTTAAAGTGTCAGCACATAATGGTAATTTTGTCTGGATCTCTGCAAACTGGTTATTTCAAAAGATGTAAACAACACTGGTCCAGAAACACTTCCTGTTTCAGTTTGTAACTGTTTTCTTTATTTCACATATAAAGAAAACATCTTAAAGATCCATTTTTAACTTTTTGATTCAATTTTAAATGTTCTGTTGGTTGTATTTTATCCCAGCTTTTATGTAGTGTTAAAAAAACTGAAACAGGAAGTGCTTCTGGACCAGTGTTGTTTACATCTTTTGAAATGGTCTATTTTTTTTTTTAGATATTTTAGAACCTTTCTCGTAAAAATAGAATAAACAGTGATAGAATAATTTCACTTTCATTGGTATCTTTTTATTATTGGTATAATGATACATGAATGCCTGTTGTTGTAACACTTCAAATGTTAGGAACAGTTTGCGGTTTGATAAGATTTACACAAATTAAGAAGAAGTAATGTAAGCTAGGCCACTTACACACAAAAAAATTAGGAAGAAAAACAATTAACATTTTCGCATTTTTAAACTAACGACAGATTGAAAGAGATGGATCACGGTTATGAAACGTGCGCTTAAATTCAAGACTGTATTTGATAAGACAAAAGCTCTTTCTCTGAGAAGATGGGTGGCTCTTAAAAGAGCCTTTGGGGTAGTTGAAGTCGGGCACGCCTTACTTTGAGCTGGTGTATTTGGTGACGGCCTTTGTGCCCTCGGACACGGCGTGTTTGGCCAGCTCTCCGGGCAGCAACAGACGCACGGCGGTCTGGATCTCTCTGGAAGTGATGGTGGAGCGCTTGTTGTAGTGCGCGAGGCGAGACGACTCACCGGCAATGCGCTCAAAGATGTCGTTGACGAAAGAGTTCATGATGCCCATCGCTTTCGAGGAGATGCCGGTGTCAGGGTGGACCTGCTTCAGCACTTTGTAGACGTAGATGGCGTAGCTCTCCTTCCTGGACTTTCTGCGCTTCTTTCCTCCCTTACCGGCGGTCTTGGTGACGGCCTTCTTGGATCCCTTCTTAGGAGCGGACTTTGCTGGTTCAGGCATGATGATGCGATATCACAAGACTGACGTATTAATGTAAATTACAGTGCGATACAGAAGGATTTATTCACTGCTCTATGCTAATTTTCAAAGTGTTAGGCAGTTATCTGATTGTCTGTTTTCATAGACCAAACCCACAAACTCAAATTTTATTGGACAACTTGAGAGGAACGAGGGCCAATCACAGGTGTGGATAAAATATAGTTCCGCCCACCGTCTCGTTTGAGATACACACTTCCACAGAGTTTCATTTGTTTAGTTTCCCGCTCTTTTTATTTAGTAATATTTTTGGAGGATAATAAGTGGTTCTAATATTGTGAATGGTCGTGTAATTTTAAAACCTTTGAGCGAGTTTGGGAGAAAAGAGACCAATATGATCTGATACACTTTAAAAACATAATTAGTTCATGAAACTGTTTAGATTTTTAAAAACAGAAATAAATCTACGTTTCTGCATTCTCATGTTTGCTAACTGGTACCATTTCATCTTATTACTTTTATTTTTTCGCAATGATTCTGTGGGGAAGCGCTCATGAAATGGATTAACGTTTTATTCAAAACCAAACGGTTTAATTGGGAGTATTCTGTTTTAAGTAGAAAGTGATATTCTGGATGAATCACTGTGGAACATTACTTAAGAGTTTTTAAATTAAATGTATACTGAATTGAGAACACGAAGTGTTTTAAACTCAATTCTATGATTTGACATGATCAAAAGTTTTGACTCTTTATGTGTCAGAGTGTGTGGCTCTTAAAAGAGCCTTTGGGTTTGTGTGGTTTGTCCTGGTCTCAGTCGTTTAACCCCCGAAGCCGTACAGGGTGCGTCCCTGTCTCTTCAGCGCGTACACAACATCCATGGCGGTGACGGTCTTTCTCTTGGCGTGCTCGGTGTAGGTGACGGCATCGCGGATCACGTTCTCCAGAAACACCTTCAACACTCCGCGGGTCTCCTCGTAGATCAGACCGGAGATGCGCTTGACGCCGCCGCGGCGAGCCAAACGACGAATGGCGGGTTTGGTGATACCCTGGATGTTATCGCGTAAAACTTTACGGTGACGCTTAGCACCTCCTTTCCCGAGTCCCTTGCCGCCTTTACCTCTTCCAGACATGTTTAACACTGAGTACTTCAGCCGAATGAGCCGATCAATGAAAGTCAAAGATCTGACTCTGGAGGTTTCAAAGAGGCATTTTACATTTGCTTACAGGACCTGACAGAAACCAGTTTTGCGTCATATGACACACACACACACACACACACACACACACACACACACACACACACACACACACACCCCTCCCCCAAAATTTCACTTTAATATGCATGTTTCATAAAATGTATTTAACAAATATCATTTTACAGTAGGCCTAGTACTGGTTGATAGGTAATTATCTACAAGTCACTAAATTAAACGAAGAGGGACACAAGAAGTCATATCACAGTATCAAAGTTTACCCATTTAATTCTCTTATTAGTAAGGCATTTGTAGGACTATTATACAATCAATGTTCTTATTAAAAAAAAAAATGTCTGGTCACAAAAGTGACCCTTAGCAAAAGCTGTAATAATAATAAAAAAAGGACTGAACGAATGATACACAAATTCTAAATAATATTGTTTTATTCCCTTAACAAAGAACTAAATATTTTCTGGCTCAGTTTCAAAAGTGACAAAATAACTTTCTTATGCAGCTGCAGCCTACTGAACACCAAATAAAATGATGACTAAAATGACATAAATAATAGGAAATTGGAAGGTAATTATTATTAACATCATAAATAACATCATAAGCACAGTAAAGGATAGATAGATAGATAGATAGATAGATAGATAGATAGATAGATAGATAGATAGATAGATAGATAGATAGATTTTTTTGGTCTTATATGTAAAATATAATGTAATTTATTCTTTCTAGCTGTTATTTCATAATTAGTATTATTTATGGTTAAATTTGTATTATAAATGAACATGTGCTTCATAACAAGAGAAACTAAAATATGTCAGGAAAAAAAATTGGTGACGTTTGTTACCAGGATTGAGTTAAAAGAGTGGCACATTTGTTTTATCTTCTGTTTATGCCTGTGTTGTTTCACCTTTTCAGTAATGGGAAAACACTGTTAGGAGTTAACAGTCTAAGGACCCAGAACCAGATATGAAGAATGAAGACCCGGAGTCAGAATTATAAAAAATTAAAGAAAAGTTTGCTGAACATAGTTTTCAGTTTCATCAGCAGAAGTCAGCTTCAAGACTCACACAGGTGTTTGTAGGCCGCCTTCCCTTACAGTTACAAAGATCACAGGAGTTATACCATTTCCAAGGTCTAAGCTACGTCATTGCTAACACGTTGAATGATTCTCATTGCCTGAGAAATAGATAAACAGTAATTTTCCATACATATACTGATAGACGGAAGCATATCTTCATCGATGATGCATCTGACACTCAGAAGCACGTCATGACCTTCCAGGTCACAGATTGTCCAGAACATGTCCAGAACAACAACTCAGTCAATCTGAAATAATGGCAGTGGTTCCTTAACCTGCAACTGGAGTAAGACTTTAACAAAGAAATGGTGCCTTAAACTATTGGCTTCAATGACCACTTTATGTTTTAACACTCAAACACAAACCAAATCCCTATTTCACTATTATTTTCACTGTTACTGTGTTCACATAGGACACTAGCAAATAAGAGCTCCCATCAAGGCTGAAGAGAGTCTGAGCGGCTTATTATCAGTTAAGTGTACCAAAACATAATGGTAAAACGTTCACTCGTTTGGGAGAAAAACAGATAACATTTGCTCCCCAGAAAGGAAATATAATAGAAAGAATACATTTTAATACAGCAACTAAAGTTCAATATAGCAATGCTCAATATAGCTTGACCATCGGTACAGAGAAGTATCATATTTTTTGGACATATGTGTTCACAACGCCTTTAGGATCCATAAACCTTTCTCCTGAGACCAGAAAAAGAGACAAATGGCCTTGTGCACCTAAAAGAAGCTGGTGACTTACATCAGCATGAATTTAAGAATATGATTTCACAAGCAAAAGCACAATAAATGATTAAGTAATAATGAATATACTTAATTATTGATTTCATAAAAGAAATACATAAGCATTCAAAAGGATATATATATATATATATATATATATATATATGCTGAAGAGGCAAGGGATTTTGACCACCCCTTCAACACAAACAACAAGCTCAACACGACCAACTCAATTATTGTTTTAAAACTGCAATACTAAAATGCCGGATTATGTTTGATACTCTAACAACTTTACTGGCCGCAAACAAAAACAGTGTGGAAAATGATCAGCAAAGCATCTTTCATGTTACCCTTTATATAACCTAGACTTGAGAAAAACAAATTGAAATGAGTTGGGCCGGATTTAAAATTAACTGTTGCCCACATGTGGGCCAATTCTGCTTCATTTGTTTTGTTTATGGCTGTCATGTGACATTCTTATTGCTCGATTGTGGCCCAAATCTGGCAAACAAGAGCGGACCGCCAGAGACTGACTGAAAATGCTACAAAGTTCACGGTTGTTATCCGCTGCTTGGCTAAGAAAAGTACTTTTCACAATATCGAAACGTCCAGCATCATGAAAAAGAGAACATTTTAACCAAGCCATATGAACATTGTCGCTTTTTAACCTGCATATATTGATAATTGTACAGATACTCCTAATATTAAGTAAGCGATGTTTGGAAATTAAAAAAAGACCATGTATGTTTAGTCAGAACAATTTGAAAGGGAGTAAATGACAGAATTTTGGGTGAACTATCCCTTTAATCATTATGTTAACAAACGAAATTTTGTGGCAAAAAGCTACCAGGGTCTTTGTGAATGAGCAATACAAGTTGCACCTTTTTTGCATTTATTTTAAATTTTAATATAAAAAGTATATTTAGCATTTAACGTCCAAAGTGAGTATTTGTTCCAAATGAACATTGAGCGAATGTCATCCCATAATAAATAGTCAAAAAAACAAAACAATGTTACAGCAGTTAACTGCTAAACGCTGAGTGTGTTCAAAATACTGTACTGCATCTCCTGATTATTCAGACCTGGAAGTTAATTTACTAAAATATGCTGCGCAGGACCCAGATGCTTAATTTACACTTAATTTTAATGTTATAATAGAGATTCTCTCATTCAGTTAAACTTTAGTGGCTCTTAAAAGAGCCGTTGTGGGTTGAATCAGACGCCGGTTTAAGCGCGCTCTCCGCGGATGCGGCGGGCCAGCTGAATATCTTTGGGCATGATGGTGACCCTCTTGGCGTGGATGGCGCACAGGTTGGTGTCCTCGAACAGACCGACCAAGTAAGCCTCGCTGGACTCCTGCAGGGCCATGACAGCGGAGCTCTGGAAGCGCAAGTCTGTCTTGAAGTCCTGAGCGATTTCTCTCACCAGCCGCTGGAAGGGCAGTTTGCGGATCAGCAGTTCGGTGGACTTCTGATAGCGGCGGATCTCCCGCAGAGCCACGGTACCGGGCCGGTAGCGGTGAGGCTTCTTGACGCCGCCGGTGGCCGGAGCGCTCTTACGAGCGGCTTTAGTAGCGAGCTGCTTCCTCGGGGCTTTACCACCGGTGGATTTACGAGCGGTCTGCTTGGTTCTTGCCATTGCTGCGAGTGACTTCTCTTTGTCCTGCTAATGCTGGAAATGCTGCTCTCTGTATTAAACGGCCGATTTTAAAGCATTGGAGCGCCACGAGCCCATTGTGCGCGATGACGCAGGCCTTGTGATTGGTTAGTACGTGACGTCAGCGCATGAGTGCCAGCCAATGACTGCGCGTTTCCTCTTTTCAAACAAGCGGAGGGTTTCCATTGATTAGTTTCGGCGCCTTTTTACTCACAACACTATTTATTAGTATTTCACGTGCTATGGAAAATAGGATATTTTCCACTTGTGAACTGGTATTTATCAGTGTGTTTCGTTCAAGTGCTTTTGTTGTCGTAATGTGGTAAAAAGATGGAGATCCAGACCTGTTATTTAGCTAAAACTATTTTAGATTGCTTAAGACCTTAAGTCATCTGCAACAGCAAGAAAATGATTTATCAAAAGTCAAAAGGTAAATAATATGCTGTAGCCTATGTTGTGTAGATCATGAATAGTATACATTTCAACATTCACGACTCTCGCGGTGCTCTCCACCATTTTGAAAAGATCAAAGGTTATCTCATCTCGGCAACTCGTCCATCAAAATATTCTACTAGTTGCCCAGTGGAAAATACCACATAAGGGGGTGTTCATGTCCATTTTCCACGTCGGCTTTACCATAGCACATGAACGCAATATGTCGTTGTGCAATGTGCAGATCTCGGATTACAACAAAATCACATTACAGTCTGTATAAAAGCATTGCAGCGAGACGCACTACTAAGGTGTCCATCCTCCCGGTGAAATAGTAGATAGCCCTGCTACTAAAGGGGAAAATACCCAGAGGAACATTAACCAAATCCTTTTTCCCTGAAGCCGATATAGCCTATATGTTACTTTCCTTTTTATGAATAATTTATTCAATATATTATCAGAGCTTCACACAGACAAATAGATTTAATTGGTGATAAACACATATTAGAGGATCATAATGTACTTATGTAAGACAGATATATAATGTGCATAGTATGCTTATACATAAAAAAAAGGATATATCTGTAACGTTAATCGTCGGTGTTGACGCTAGTCGTTAAATGGACCATTTTACTCTGAATAATTCATTTATGTTGGTAACAATATTAAAAGAGAAAAGCGCTCGTTGACAGATAAAATGGGTGGCTCTTAAAAGAGCCTTTGTTTTGATAACGAAACCTTCGCTCCGTTTACTTTGATTTGGCGGGTTTCTCTGTCTTCTTGGGCAACAGCACGGCCTGGATGTTTGGCAGCACGCCGCCTTGAGCGATGGTCACTCGGCCCAGAAGTTTGTTGAGCTCCTCGTCATTACGCACCGCCAGCTGCAGGTGACGGGGGATGATACGAGTCTTCTTGTTGTCCCGAGCGGCGTTTCCAGCCAACTCCAGGATCTCAGCGGTGAGGTACTCGAGTACCGCCGCCAGATAAACAGGAGCTCCGGCACCGACGCGCTCGGCGTAGTTTCCTTTGCGCAGAAGTCTGTGAACACGGCCAACGGGAAACTGCAGTCCCGCCCTGGAGGAGCGAGTCTTAGCCTTTGCTCGGGCTTTACCGCCGGTTTTGCCTCTGCCACTCATTTTCAAGTCAGTTAATACAACCGAATGAAATAATATGAAGTAAGTGTATCTCCAGAGACTGGTTTTAATCTGGAGTGCCAGTCGCCCATTGGTTTAGAGTCTGTAAAGATTCAAACCAATCACTGAACTTCCCCCTGAAAGTCCAACCCCCTTTTCGGCGTAGATATGCACTTAATGACCTTTAAGACAGAGAAGAGGAAACCGTAGACATGTTGGTCATACACAATTTAAGTATAAAAAAGGGGTATTGTACGCTTTTACTGCCAAAAGTTCTGCACCTTTCTCACACTGTATATCTTGGGCACAATCACCATCTGATACTGCACTGTTATGTTCCTATTGTAATATTGGAGGTTTATAACTGCCCATTTTGGTTGGATATGTGTGGGCTGATTGTATTGTCACAATTCTTCAGCTTAGTGTAGTGAAACGTATATTCTTCATATATTCTAATACAACATATTTAGGTTGATCACCGTCTGAATCCTCTTCAGCTTTTTTGGGAATTTACAATAAATCTCGTACAAATAAATAATTATTTACCTTTGAGTTATTTTTCTTCAAAATGGGGTGTTCGTGAACTCAAATCATTGGTATAAACGAGTTTTGCTCTTATTCAGAGTTATTGGGTGGCTCTTAAAAGAGCCGTTGAGGAACAAACACAGGACTTTATTTCTTTTTGGGCGCTGCCTTTTTAGGCTTGGCGGCTTTAGGTTTTGCGGCTTTGGGTTTAGCAGTCTTTGCCTTTTTAGGGCTCTTAGCTGCTTTCTTAGCGACTGCTGGCTTCTTTGCCTTCTTGGGGCTCTTCGTCGCCTTCTTAGTGGCCTTGGCTGCGGGCTTCTTGGGCGATTTCTTGGCGGCGGGCTTCTTTGCTGCTGCGCTCTTGGGCTTCTTGGCAGCAACGGGTTTCTTGGCCGCGGGCTTCTTCGCTTTAGGAGCTGCTTTCTTGACCGCTTTCTTCTTGGTCTCGGCTTGCTGCTTGTTGAGCTTGAATGAGCCCGAGGCGCCGGTTCCTTTGACCTGCACCAGGGTGCCTTTAGTCACCAGGCTCTTGATGGCGATCTTGACGCGGGAGTTGTTCTTCTCCACGTCGTAGCCGCCGGCAGCGAGCGCTTTCTTCAGCGCGGCGAGGGACACGCCGCTCCTCTCCTTGGATGCGGACACCGCTTTGACGATGAGCTCGCCGACGCCTGGCCCTGCTTTCTTGGGTTTCGCAGCGGACTTCTTCTTGGGTGCTTTGGCCGGGGCGGCAGCAGCGGGTGCGGGAGCAGTTTCTGCCATTTCTCTCTGTTCGGATTTACAGTCTTTCAATCTCTCTAGTTTCAGTAATGAATGGCGCGCTCTCGCGGCGCTGCCCTCTTAAAAAACACATGAGAACTTTATAGACTCAACCTGCCCGCTCAGCGTTTGTCTGCGTCAACGAGCCCCTTCACGCGTGTGTTTTCTTCCCTTCAATTTGGTTAAAAACTGGAGTGGTAAAATAGTTTGGTTTAGTCAAAACAAATTGAACACCAAGCAGAGGTTCTGAGCTTTCACCGGATACTAAAATACCAAATGATGAAATGTTTATTTTGCCTTTGTCAGATCAAATCCGAGGAGAGCTTCAGTCACGGGGAAAAGCAGCGCGTAAATTTGATGGATATTTTAAGTGGAAAGGTTGATAAAAGTCTGACCCCGTCATCTGTGTGTTCAGCTAACAGTCTGAAATAGATTTTTATGAAATCAGCATCAGCGAGGGGCGTGAGGAGGCTTTCATACAGATGTTTTTTGGGGCAGGTTGAAGCACACGACCATTATCAGTCTCTCTGTGAATCTCATGTCTGGCCAGCAGATGATCTGTCCTTAAAATAATAATTATTTGTATTAATATTAATAATACATATCATTTCCATAAGATGATGTAAATCATATCACCTAACAAAAAATGCAAATCGTCATATTTGTTTATCCTTATTCGTCATTTATCTCAGTTTCCATAATGTGAATGAAGATCGTGTAAAAGCTCATCTGAACGAGCCGCTCATTTTAAGCAAGGCAGAGCAAGTGACTCAAAAAACAACTGCTTTTCCCCCAGTTTCATAGCTTTTCTGAACAATGTTTGAAACTTTGTATTGCAAGCATTCCTTATGCCATTGTAGCTTGTATTTCTCCAAAGATGGCTTTGGATAAAATAATCTGCTAAGTTAATGTGACAAAGAACAGGTCACTAAATGAAAGTTTGTTATATATTGATTTAACCACCACTGAATGCTAATTCATAAAATAGTCATATAATATGCACGGATGTCGGGGTTTTGGTCATACCAGTAGGTTACTAAGTTCTCTAAGCTCTAACCCAAACCATTTCAAGATAATGAAGGTGCAGAATTACACAGGCAGGTTTAACTGGGATCAGTAATAAAGCATGAGGACACTGGAGCTGAAGGGCTGATAATAACCAAGTTAAAACATTTTGAATGAACTTCAAAGCAACTGAATTGTTTTTGAGTGTTTTTCAACTTCAAATTCCTAAACTGTGTTTCTTGGAACTGAAAACAAGGGGATACGAAAGTTTTCTGATCCAAGACAATATTTGTCTGTTACATTCATTTTCGGGTACTCTCTCTGGAGCCTCGAAGCGTCTGTCAGTCATCAGATGGAAACAGGCCTGGACCCCAGTGATGTGTGGCATCAGTATAAGATCGATGATCAAAACACAGAGACAGTGTAGTATCACATTTTTACATCAACTTTATTAAGGAAGAAGGGTCATATTTATACAAGATAAAGCAGAATTATCCACAATGCAGGCCATCCAATCATATACTGAAAGATCAACCCCATACAGCATACTAATAAATATAATCTTATGAGTTTGAGTGTACGAGTGTGTCCAAGTTATTGTTCTTGTTCTGTGTGTCCATGATGTGCAACATAACATAAAGAAGGTACATCGGGGCAGTCTTACACAAGAATAATCAAAAGTGGAGCCTAAGAAGAAAATATTATAATTTTATACTTTTGTTCTTGTGAAAAGAAATGGGGTTCAATAATGGCAGTGGAGAAAGATGTGAGAAAAGCAAGGTGGTAATCCATCAGCCGGAAGTTGAAGCCTCGCGGGAGCCACCGTAGCCTAACAGAACTTCACCTGCTGTTAGCATTCCATTGACTCCCATTCTTTTTTGGGGTCACTTTGACAGCAAATAACTTGACAAATGGAGTCTTTGGACGCCTCAGATGTAGTGTTTCTTTAGAAATAAATAATGGACAACGTAAGATACAAGGTAATGGAGCCTTTTATACATTATGGCCCCGTAGAAGCAGTTTTTGTAAAAAAAAAAATAGGCTTACGATTGCGTCATAAAGTATTGACTCTTGCTCTATAGACCCCTTTACAGTTGGTAAACACGGTGACGTTTTTATGTGGGCGGAGCTTAGGTGGAGTGAGTAATGCTGGCTAGAAACCTCTTCTTCTTTCTTGTTTTATGGTGGTGCATTACCGCCATCTTCTGCTCCGAGTCCGGAGTGTGGATCAGATAATACGCTTACAATCTATATCCCTCTTCATCTCTCTGTGCTTCATATCTCAGGCAGAGAGTGAACCAACTCTAGGGTAAAGCTAAAGGCGATTCCTCTAAAATATTTAAACAATGTCATGACATTTACGTATCGCCTTGCTATCAGCTACACATCCCAGCATAAAGTGATTAGGTTCATAAACCATGATATTTGAATAGGCAGGGCATGATTTAGCACGACAGCTCGAATTATAAACTGCCTATTGCTCTCAGATAAACAACTAAGCTAATTCATCTTTACGCAGCCGAGTTTAGGTTGCTTTTGTTTGTGTGGAAAAGATTGCTTTCAGCGTTGATATTAACAGATTCACTTAAACTCAAGATTAGAACTGTAGATAATACACAGAAGCTGTTTATCCAAGAAGATGGGTGGATCTTAAAAGAGCCTTTGGGGTAGTTGAAGTCGGGCATTAGTGAGCAATTAAATGTATCTTTATAAATCCTTAAAAAAATAAAAAAAAATAAATAAAAAAATTGACCGGAAGTTCTGAATTCCTACTCTGTGTTCTGGAAGCAGGAAGTGTGACATAGGCCTTTTGAATCGTGACACGAGTGTATCATTAAAAAAAATGCTTTAATAAAGGCTTGCAAGAAAATACATATGCAACTAGCACGCTGAAATCTAGTCAATTTGAATTAAAAAAAACATACATTGTAATGACATTTTTTAATACTTTATTATAAATAATAAATCTAAATAATCTAAAAGTGTTATTACAACAAACATAATAAAATCCACCATGACTAAAAAGCAAAAACACTACCATAATTAAATATATGTAGTAATGAGAAAAGTGCTATGTACATTCTGCAGATGCTTCTGTAAAGAGAAGTCCATTATAAAGACCATTTCAGAGTCGGCTGTAGGAAGTGTGGCCGCCTTCGTGGATCTTACAGTACTCCTGACCCGACACAGCCCTCTTTTTACATGGCTTGCCCACTCGAGTGACACCACTGCACAGGGAGCGACCTGAAAGAGAACTTGACAAAAAAGAAAAAAATATATATATATATATTATTAAAATCCCCATCCATAGTGAGCCAAAGATTTAGAAATCAAAACATTGGATTCCAATAAAACCATTTCACATTTGCTCTATTTAGCAGCAGACAACTCAATTTTAAGTATATGTCTTCTATAAAGCCGTACCTGTTGCTGGAGAGTGAATAGTTGGGGCTTGAGCTTCGCGAGTGACTCACGGTCTCCAAAACTTCTCCTAGGTTCCTCAGAGGAACGTTCTCCAGCACTGTCTGCTGATCACATCATGACTTCAAGAACCAGTCTCAAAAGAACCATGCAGTTTGCAGTCCACCAAATTATAGCAAAAACACCAACACTGTGGAAGTGAGACTTATGCAACTGTGCATTTAAAAAAAATAATCAAAAATGGTCTCAATATACTGTAAGCAATTAAAGTCCCCCTGTAAAAAGTTTTTAATGCTTGTGTCCATGTGGTGTTTTTAATGTGCTTAAAAGACAAACCATGTGTAAATTCTTAAGTCGACAGCATTGCTGAGTATTTTCTCCATAAAACTGCATGTGTTTTATAGAGTGAGTAAAATAAGTATTTGAACACCCTGCTATTTTGCAAGTTCTCCCACTTAGAAATCATGGATGGGTCTGAAATTGTCATCGTATGTGCATGTCCACTGTGAGACATAATAAAATAAAAAATCCAGAAATCACAATATATGATTTATGAACTATTTATTTGTATGATACAGCTGCAAATAAGTAATTGAACACCTGTCTATCAGCTAGAATTCTGACCCTCAAAGACCTGTTAGTCTGCCTTTAAAATGTCCACCTCCACTCCATTTATTATCCTAAATTAGATGCACCTGTTTGAGGTCGTTAGCTGCATAAAGACACCTATCCACCCAACACAATCAGTAAGAATCCAACTACTATGGCCCTGTTTACACGAGAACGCTCGTGGGTGAAAACGTAAAAATATTTTATCGGATGTGCCTTTCGTTTACGCGGCGATGGCGTTTTTGAGACTCAAAAACTCAAAAAAGTGAAACCACCCTCCAGAGTGGAAATCTTAAAAATGCTCCACCGCCGCGTTCCCATGTAAACGGTAAAAACGCAAAAGTCTGCTTGACAGTGAAGTTTGTACGCAGGCGCGTGGACTTGGTGGTGTTGCAGTATGCACTCACAGCCGCCTGGAGTGCATACTACATTGAATTTCACACACTTTTGCGTCTCCATTTGCACGCGGATTTCCCACACAAAACGCTCGTCTAAACGCAGAATAAAAAAAGATGACGCAACACCACTTTTGCGTTTTCTCTTCAGAATCGTTTCCGTGTAAACATAGCCTAACATGGCCAAGACCAAAGAGCTGTCCAAAGACACTAGAGACAAAATTGTAATCCTCCACAAGGCTGGAAAGGGCTAAGGGGAAATTGCCAAGCAGATTGGTGAAAAAAGGTCCACTGTTGGAGCAATCATTAGAAAATGGAAGAAGCTAAACATAACTGTCAATCTCCCTCAGACTGGGGCTCCATGCAAGATCTCACCTCGTGGGGTCTCAATGATCCTAAGAAAGGTGAGAAATCAGCCCAGAACTACACGAGAGGAGCTGGTCAATGACCTGAAAAGAGCTGGGACCACAGTTTCCAAGGTTACTGTTTGTAATACACGAAGACGTCATAATTTGAAATCATGCATGGACCGGAAGAGTCCCCTGCTTAAACCAGCACATGTCAAAGCCCGTCTTAACTTTGCCAATGACCATTTGGATGATCCGGGAGTCATGGGAGAAAGTCGTGTGTTCAGATGACACCAAAATATAACTTTTTGGTCATAATTCCACTAACCGTGTTGGGATGGTACTCATTATTCTTCGTCCAAAGAACAGCATCCCTACTGTGAAGCATGGGGTGGCTGCATCATGCATTTGGGGGTGTTTTTCTGCACATGGGACAGGGCGACTGCGCTGTATTAAGGAGAGGATGACCGGGGCCATGTATTGGGAGATTTTGGGGAACAACCTCCTTCCCTCAGTTAGAGCAATGAAGATGGGTCGAGGCTGGGTCTTCCAACATGAATATGACAATGACCCGAAGCACACAGCCAGGATAACCAAGGAGTGGCTCTGTAAGAATATCAAGGTGCATATCAAGGTTCTGGCGTGGCCTAGCCCAGGGGTTCTCAACTCCAGTCCTCGCGACCCACAACTCTGCATATTGTGTATGTCTCCCTTATTTAACACACCTGATTCAGATCCTATCCTAATGAGCCAAGGATCTGAATCAGGTGTGTTAAATAAGGGACACATACAAGGTGTTTCTCAATGTCAAGGATACTTCCTTAGCAGGACGGGTCCTTCCAAGTCATTTCCTTCAGAGGCTAGGCAAGGGTCCTCTTTAGCATTCGGAGAACATGTAAATGGAACAGGCTAGCAAGTGCACGTCATTGCGTCATTACATCAGTGAAAGGTCCGCCTCGGCGCTGCAAAAATCATCGTGCTGGTGTACTGCACTGTTTAAATACACTTGACAGTCCTTATTTTGTGTTGTCAGTCCTCGTAGAAATAAATCAATATTTGAAGTATAAGGGATAATGTATAACCAGGCGGTTGTTATAGTGAATACAACCCCGCAAACTCTAAAGCAGTCTTGATCAGCCTGAAGGGGTAGTATTCGCTGTAACAACCGCCTCGCTATACATTTTCCCACTTATAACATGGCTACCTACCAAATAAATCAATAATTTGACACAAAATATTGATTTAAAAAGGAGTTTATTCATTCAAAAACGATTATATTACCGGAGTGAACAGAACTACCTCCATAGCAACATGATCTAGCTGTTAAAACATATGCAATTGTAAAATATGTGACCAACAAAAAAGGCTATAACGTTATATGAAGTAAAAATTAAAAAGTTAATCACCAGTAAAAGGGAACAGCTTTAAATCTCCTCAGCAAATTTGAGCCGATATGTTAAATAGTTTAACAAACATTAAATAAATGGCTAAACTGAAATTATACTTGCTTACATTTGAAAGCATATTGCCGTTATCACTCCGACTCCGCTAACGGTCGACATTTCTTAGTTTTTGAACAAGATAGCAAAGCTGCGCATAGGATTGTGGGTGATTTAAGAGCGCGAAGGCTACACATATGCATCCTTTCCTGTGTATGGGATATTTTCCGAACGAAGGACTCAGTCCTTGGTTGAAATTCGGAGGATCCTCGACATTGGAACAGTCCTTCGATGGACGTCGATGACGTAGCATCCTCGAAATTCCGGCTTCCGAGGATCCTTCCTTGACATTGAGAAACGCCTACACAATTTCAGAGCCCGTCTAACGGAGAGCATTGGCACTTCCTATTAGCCCTATTGTGTATTATCCTGGTTGCAGTTCCATTAGAATTCCACTGGAGGTGATCGCGGGCGAGAGCAGAATGAATGAGAGTCTATGGGGCTAAACAGCTAAAAGTGTCTCTTTCACCTGCTTGTCGTTAAATTAACCCCTTAACGCCCACTGTCGCAAATATGCAACAAACCATTTGACTCAGTCAACCAGCCGAGATAACGTCTGCATTCCCCCAATGCCGGTTTGTGCATATTCACTACGGACCTATGGACCTTCGACAAGCACTTGTTTCAAAGTGACGGACTTATTTCCTATTTACGCACGAGGATTTCTCCGGTCAGGAACATTTGCAACATACCAAATTGACCATTATGCCCGTTGTTGCAGATTTGCAACATACCAAATTGACCCCAAATTGACCATTATGCCCACTGTTTCAGGTTTGCAACATACCAAATTGACTCCAAATTGACCATTAATGCCCGCTGTTACAGATTTGCAACATACCAAATTGACCATTATGCCCGTTGTTGCAGATTTGCAACATACCAAAATTTCTATTTATTTGTTGTGCAAAAGTGAAATTGATAATCTCAACATTATTTACCATCTACTTAAAGGCAAAAACACACATAAAACATTGTTTTATATACAGCTATATAAATTCAGACGTTAAGGGGTTAACAGAGATTTTATTGTTGATTCCGCAAGTTCAATATAGATTATAGGCCAAAATGCTCTAATCTCTGAAAATCTCCAAATGATCCACGTGAAACTGCGGTCTTCCAACCTTTTACTATTAGTTTTACTGATTAATATGCGCAAGGGAGACCCGCTCGCCCGTGTTGTTTGAAGACAGTGCGCGCGGCCGCGGAGGTATTTTTCTGGAGGTATACTGCCCCCATCTGGTATGTGTGTTAAAGGTGCCCTCTGGGATAAAAAATCAAATCATACACCATATTCCAATCATCTCAGTTAAAAGTAAAGAAACAAAATGATCTTACCAGTGCTGTCTCTCTTATTGCAGTCTTTGATTTTGAAATTAGCAGATGATCAATAAAATGCAGCTCATTACTGTTGCTTTCGGTGACGTGAGCTCCGTTAAATCTGCATATAGCACGTTGTTTGAAGATTGGATTTATATCCGTTTTGTGAAAACATTTATGCGACCAGGTGTAAATAGAATCGTTTTGATAAATCAGATCAGTAAAAACGCGTGAAGTGTCCAGGTGTAAACGGCCCCATTATGAGCTGTCAGCATCTGTATAATTTCCTGTTAATTAATTGCAAACAGTGGCATGTTGCAAAGCAGTCACATCTCTTATGTTTTTATGAATGACATCAGTGACTAGTCAACGTCGACTCGACTTTGATGTCATAACAGTCGAATTCAAAAAATTTGAAGTCATTCAAACCCTAGAGTGGAGGAGTTGGCCAAAATCCCTCCTGCAGTGTTTGCAAACCTGGTAAAAAACTACAGGAAACATTTGACCTCTGTCATTGCAAATAAAGGTTACTGTAACAAATATTATACATTGATTTTCTCAGGTGTTCAAATACTTATCTGCAGCTGCATCATACAAATAAATAGTTAAATCATATATTGTGATTTTCTCTCACAGTGGACATGCACCTACGATGGCCATTTCAGACCCCTCCGTGATCTATCTATCAAATTTTTAAGTTACCTGTATTTACCCGTTACCTGTACCCAGCCACAGTTTGATTGACACTTGTAATAAAAAAAAATACTTATATTTTTCTTTTTATTGTGTATGAAAATGAACAAGAACAGAGTTCTCTCTTTTTTTTTTTTCTGTTGTAAATGTCCCAATTGGGAGAGGGCGTGCAATTTTCAAAGATTTTAAATAAAAATGTTCATGTTATATATTTTGGTTGCATTTGTGAGTTAATAATGTAACTGGTTGTGTAAACTTGGCACATAATAATCAAAATATCGATAAATCAAACGATAGACTTTTTATTGAAATAAAATATATTATTAAACATCTACTTTGTATTATTATTACCACCATGACTTACCCCTGCGATGCGGTGTCGATTCTTGATTCTGGGGGTTGAGTGGGTGTGTGTGCCTGAAGTGAGCGGACTGAACTCTGGATGGCCATGAGGCCGAGATGAAGACATGGCCAGGATGCATGGATCACCTACAGCAAGAGCAAGACTTAACTCTCGGAACAAAATAACTAGTGCTCGTCTGTGTGAAAACCCACTACCCTACTAGGATTGTGTTACTAATGTGTTACTAATGAGGGCTTTTAAGGTGATTATCCCATTTAATTCATTACATCCACCAATGCTACAATTCTCTATATGCCATAATCATTATTTAAAGTGTAAATTGCAGGTTAGCCACCACAACCAATTAATGTGCAAATTAAAGTGCTCAATATGTATATATTTAAAAATGTCTGTCTTAAAAGCATTAAAATAACATTTATTGGGGTTTCTTCACAGTTAGCATGTTTTTTACAGTAACTGGGAGATGACGTCATAAACATAACAAAAAGTGTGGATAATATGAAAGATTCATCGATAATAACAGAGATGTGTGAGATCGCAATGAACTGATGTCAGCTTTTTAGGAATTATTATGAGAGCGCACTGTGCGCAGTCATGCCAAACCATCATGACTGTAAGTTAGCCTGCTTTTTTTTTGTTACAACAATGGTTTGTGTGAATGCTTTAATAACAAATAATTTGTCAGGAGCATTTATGCTGATGTGTATGGTGGTGACACGTGGGCAAACTATTTCAAGGTACAGAAAAAAAAAATATGGGAATACATGGAACAAGAGAGACAAGAGGACAATACCCATCATGAAGCTCTCCACCTCCAAATCACAGTCTGTGTCATTTCTACAATGAGAAGACAACACAAAATTAGCTGTAATATAAAATAACAACAATAAAGAAATAAAACACAACAGCATGTTAGGTGGCTTGGATGGACGAGAGATGGTCATTGCATTAGTCAACATTAGGTTTGTGCAGTCTTCGACTCACATGACCGGCGTGGACGGCGGGCAGCGCTCTCTCTCTGGGGTCTTCTCTTCACTGGGGCCCAGAAGAAGTGGAGGAGGGGGGCCACAGGTCTGGCCCTTCATTTTAGACAACGCCCAGAGCACCTGAAGCACAAACCAGCGACCTGGATCACAAGAACGACAATGTCAAGAACACAGGAGATGAGAAATGGAGCTGTTTTCAGCATTAGATTAAAGGTATTGCAGGTAGGCATTTTATAAAAAAAAAAAAAAAAAAAAAAAAACTTTCCAAATTTGTTTAAACTTACTATATGCATCAATGCATAATTAATGTGCAAGTACTCTGATAAAAAGAGTATAAAAAAAAAACTCTAGACTCTAGACCGTTTAATCTGCACTAAACACGTGCAGCTCATTATTTCCAACCGGGACGAAACAAAGGATTGGCTTAGGCGACTGTCACTCTCTCGAAACCATGGCAACCACCCTTTTGCCACACAGGACCTGCCCACTTGAAGCGTTTCCAGATCATATATACCGGTTCACATGCCCTTGTTTGAGCCTGAAGATGCAAAACTCGATGCAGGTCCTCTTGTCCAAGAAGTGCTCCTTGCCCTGCACTTAGACCACCCCGTCCTCGGACCCCAGTTGCACGGCCTCAACCCCGGATCTGTCCTCGAGCTGACGATGTGGTAATTGTCTCTGGAGTGTAGTCCTCATCAGAGTCAACAATGCTTTCATCATGGAAACTCTTACATACAGAACTCCATACATGTTATGAATCTTACACGAAATTCATCTTCATCACAGTGTAAATGATGGCAATGGAAAAACGTGCATCATGCAACCTGTTTTTAGCATTGCCTAATAGATAACTAGCTCGTTAGCAAATCAATAAATATACATTTAAACTTTACCAATATCAATATGCTAGCTTGATAGGGAATACTAAAATACATCTTATTTGTTTATCTTCATAATGATAAAGTTAGATTTTTTTTTTATTACATGTAATTCTGACATGATGTCATTACTGCACTGCGCTCTTCCTCTCTTCCTCTCTGCTCGTCTCAGGTAAATGTGTCTTCAGCTCAGTGGTTGGAGTCGCGCGTTCATGTGTTTTTGGGGCGTAGCTTTGGAAGGAGCCCAGAAGAGAGGGGGTGAAGGGAATGGAAATAGTGAGCTGTCTTTAAAGTCCCCGTGAACCGGAAGTTGCAAACGATTTTTCTCCAGTGCTGTGACGTATTTCCAAGTGAAACGGAATATTGAACAGAGGGCAGGGTTTTACTCTAGAGCTCCTCCTCTCCACCTCTCGCTCATAGCAAACTAACGGTTTGAGGGGAGTGGTTAAGCGTTTCCCCACCCAAACTGTGAAACCTACGTCATCAGAAAAAGAAACCGTTCCAGACCGGAAGTAACTTTTCAGATTTTGATTAAAGATTACCAAGGTAAAACATTTTTTTAATATACATTTACTTGCACGGATTAATTGTTCACCACAAGACTAGTAATATGCGCTAACAAAGTAAAAAGGTTCAATTTTGATTTCACGGGGACTTTAAAACAGTCGTGAGAGGTCTACAGACACTCGATTTTTATACTTTCTTTTTCAGAGTACTTACATTTTAATTATGCATTGATATATACAGAAAGTTTAAACTAATTTGGAAAAAAAGTTTTTTTTAGCAAATTCCTACCGACAATACCTTTAAGAGAGAATGTAATCAGTGTTTCTTTCACATAATGTTTTGTGAGGCTGAGGGATGAACTTTAGGCCCTCTAGTGGCGGGGCGGGGTATTTCACCCCAGGAGAAAACTGTATGGTTTAAAGTTAGATGTCTCAGTGTGACGCACAGTTTAAGACTAAAGGCCATTGCACACGGAGTCCGAAATTCTCATCCGAAATTTTCGCACGTTAAAAAAAAAAAAAAAAAAAAAAAAAAGACCTCACGTTATGTCAGTCACGCTTGCCTCCGAAACTTTCGTCAGTCATTAAATTAATCGGATCGGGTTCGATTTTCTGCGTTTTTTGCATCCAGAGCCAGCATTTTGAGAGGTCTTTTGACAATTCAGGGCAGGGGGAGCTCGTCCTCAAATCATTGCACATATGCGCCGTGCTTTCAGTTTCGGTTTTCAATTCGATCAAGTGTTTGTTCTCTTCTCTATATTGGATTATGAAATTAATAAACCTCCCCTTTCAATCAGATTGAAATTTAGGATCGAATAAGGTGTGATTGAGCAGCCTATTCGATAACTAATGTATAATTTGGGCACAATATATACACAATAACAGCTGTTCTGTCTGCCCAGCACTTCCACCGGGCCGCGCGCGGGTGTGTGTGTGTGTGTGTGTGTCCATACCTGGTCCATACCAGACACACTGCCAGTCTCCGTTCAGAATTGATTGTTTCACGGAAATTGGTGGTCTTGTTTTTAATATGTGGCTCCAGAATCGCAAGCAAAGCATCAAAATGTCCCACTGACATTCTGAGGTAAATTTTGAAATGCTCAGGATAAATCCGCAACTCCTTGATAAGGTGGTTCTCTCGGCGCAATTTCAGGATTGGATGGACGTAATATTTTCTCTTTCTTCTCTTTTCAATAAAAGAGAGGGCAAAAATCATCCTCACTGCTTGACGAATCCATTTGGTATTTTTGCGTTTTTTCCCCGCAAAGGTTTAATAAATACGCAACGGACTCGGCGTGCAAGGTTTCTATGCGTGACGAATTTTTAGGCTGACGAACACGAAAATACGCATACGAAAATTTCGTACTCCGTGTGCAATGGCCTTAAGAGCTCCATAGTAGCTGGACTTTAAAGTAGACTTCACACTGGTGTTTTTAAAAAGCCAAACAACTTGACATAGCTGCCAGTGCCAACTGACACCCGCATTTGATTGGTTTCACACGCCACACCTCCGATTTCTCACGCTGAAGTGTCAACCTGGTCAGTCAAATGCCTGGAAGAGGATTTTTTTCTAAATATCTACCTATATATCTATGTTGAGCCACTCGTGATTGAGTAGTTATGCGGCAAATTAGTTAAATTCTCCCAGAATCTAGAGCGAGTGTGCACGCGGTGAGACAGAGATTGTGTTCCAAACCGCGTAGCACGCACAGACACATGGCAAAGAGGGAAAGCGAGCGAGAGACCTTTGCAAGTGTCATCCAAACCCCCAACCCCAGGATGACGACTGTATGCCAGATGAAAAACCTACAGCAGTTGTACGTTAGGCACATAATGCATAACAGGTCTGCATAATAAAACTAGCCCAATGAACAGATCTCAAATACAAACTCAAAATATGCCACTCCCTTCCCTAAAATAAATATTTTACTGTCACACAAATTAAAAACCACTATATCGCAGTGACCATAGCTCAATGCAGGTGCGTCTAGAAGGGGGGCACGGATGGCACTGGCCCCCCCGGAATATGATTGGCCCCTCCGGTGCCGTTAACTCCAGTCACTCAGTCCGGCTGAGGGATTGTGATCCCACGGGAATGCACGTCAATTATATATCCCTCTATAGCCAAGGAAAAACAATGGATCTAACCTGACTTCTTGTCTTGTACACAAGCACTTTACTAATTTCATAAGTGTCAGCAGCGGGGCAGAAACGACACTGTTCTCAGCACAGATGTAGTACCTAGTGACAGTGTGAAGAGCAGCAGAGAGAGCGAGAGCAGGTCGAGCGCAGACTGCTGGTTGATCTCCGCGATGGCATTGATGGGGACGGTGAGGAGCAGAGAGACGCGGGAGAAGGTTGCGCACTGCAGGAACGACAGCAGAACCGCACACAGCAGGAAGAACCCAGCGTGCATCACACACGTCCACAGAGAGCGCAGGCTCAGGCCTAGGAGCAGAATGAAACACTCACCAACATCTTACAATATTAGTATTGTCGAGTTGTGCACAGGTGAATGAACAAGTAGTACCTGCCCAGCCCAGATAGCCTTGGATCATATGCAGTCTGTCCTCCAGCCGGCTCTGCATGTTGTCCAGATACCGGAGCATGTATCCCAGAGTGCCGTTCATGCGCTCCAGTTTGCTGGTGAGCTCGGAGTAGAAGCGAGCCGTGTCGTTCTGCTGCTGGAGGAAGCCCTTCAGGTTGAGCTCTGCATCATGGGATCAACACAAACACCAGCAGTTCAGCTTCACTGCCAAGACAGGGCCAACGCGGTCCGGATTCTTGCTAATACAGTGCATTCTGGGAAATCTAGAGTGTTTTGAAGGAAAATTTCTGGATATACACAGTACTGGTCAAAAGTTTGGAATAATTTGGATTTTAGGTAACTATTTTTTAGGGTGTCATTGTTACGGTTATATACAGATATATATATATATATATCGTTACCGCGATAGAAAACGTCAGTCGTAACAGATTTTTTTATTCCGTGTATACCGCGAAATGCAAATAAGGGGGCGTGGTTAACTCCCGTGCAGCGCGCGTGAGACTGATGATGAGATTTGTCAAAGAAACATGGAGAAAGCAGATCAAGAGGATCCACAAAGGAATTACATTTTCTAAAGGATTGTTGTTAACGTGATATGCTCAGCCGTCAACTTGAGCAGAGCAGCAGCACCCAGGCTACAGTTTAGAGGAGTGCACGTTCACAACGGGGAAAGCATGAAGTTACTTGATAACAACATTTCATAGGCTATATCAATATCATTACGAGAAATAACCCTAAATAATGTATAGTTATCCGCATCTTTCCTTCTCTTATGTATAGTTACGTTTTAAACATGAAAATCGCATTCAGCATGAATGAACATCCTGCTTGTTAAAAATAATCCTGTTTCTGAGGCAAAATTACTAAATATGCAGCACGAGTTATATATTTTTTAACTCCAAACAATTGTCTACTGAACCAGTTGATAAAATCTTCCTTTAATTTGAGAGTGAAGTTGTAATCACGGATCGAATCAATCAATCGCATTTTGTTGATGCAAAAGACGCGCACGTGCACATGCACTGAGAGGGAGCGCGCGGTGTTCACCGGGCTATGGTCTAATAACGACGCACTGTTATAAGGTGTGGATAATTTAAACTACTTAGTCAACAATAACAGTAGCTGCGGTTTGGTTTTCATATTGCTGCTCTCCTTCTAGTCACTTCTGAACTTGACACTTCTGAACTCCTCTTCATTAAAGCTCAGGGTGACGGGTTGCCAGATATAACAAAAAGAGCAAAACAACAAGCCCGTTTAAAACGCAGTATAATAAGCACATGTGGTAAAAAATATATTATAATTATATTATATATATTATAATTATATTATAAACTGATTGATGAAGTAAAGCAATGCATGAGATAGAAAAATTATTTAAAGTTGAAATGCACCTATGAGTTGTATTTAATATCAATTGTGGGAAGTTCATCTAAAAGTTGATGAGTGTTTTGACATAAAAATAGTTTACCAAATAAATAATTTACCAAATAAAATAAAACAAGGTGACACTTTTCATTTCTGAAGTATTTGGGTTTATTTATTATACAAAGCCCTTTTTGTCTTTTTTTTTTTTTTTTTGGAGGAAAACTATATAAATAACTATATTGTGAAATATATCGTTACCGTGAAATAAAATTAGTCATATCGTGAAACACAATTTGTCATATCGCCCACCCCTAGTTACAGTATATTTATACATTTAAACACTGAGCAATTAACATGTGTACTTAGTTGGTTAGTTAAAATTATTTAAAAATGCAATTAAAAAGGTACAATATGCAAGATTGTTTCGCAACCAGGGGTTGCTAATATCTTACAATAACAAAGGCGTTTTTTTTTTTTTTTTTATTAATTGTTGCTACTGGAAACTTGAATTTCCTTAACGGATGAATAAAGTATTAATCTATCTATCCAGTGGCGGCGTTTCACAAAAAACCTAGAGTATGGCATCCGGCATAACGTTACATACAACAACGACATTATCGAATAATATACCTCACATTTAACAAAATGCACAATGCACTGTTAACTTGTAACGCGTTGTGTCAGGAGGGAAGGAAAATAGGGAGAGCTCACAGCTTATTAGGCCAGACAGAAACAGCATTCTCTGAAATGGAATATTCAATCCATTCATGAATTTTGTAAAGCTGCGCACACCCACAAAAAAAAAAAAAAAAAAAAAAAAAAAAAAAAAAGTTGTTAAAATAATAATGAAAATACGTTGTTTTTTTCCTGATCCATCATCTAATCAGAGAAGTCAGCGTTTAGACCAAGAGCAGCGCGCCGCTCATTGTTATTAATCACTTCATTATCACGTGTTTTGCCTTCAGATTTATTATCAAATTGATATTATAACAATTTTTTAGCAACTTTATTGCACTGAAGTATAGCAAGAGTATGAAAAGTCACAAAGTCACAGTCTCATGTTGGACTCGTTTATATGAAAGGAATTTTATAATTAAATAAATAAACCCAGATTTCACAGTGGGAAACCGTGTTTAATTACTCCAGCGTCATTTAATGTAAAATGCATTTATGACAAACAAAGAACTAAACAGATGTATATACTATAGGCCTACTATTAGTAAATGCATGCACGTTTTCATCATAGACAGTAAAAGGTTTTCATCTGCTTTTGTTCTGACGCTGCGGAGAAGCCGGTTGGCCGGTTTCATATGACTTTTATAGGTGACGACTGACTGAGCGATCATGAAACGCACATTTTTGGGGGGGCTGGGGTGGAAATTTAGGGGGTTTAAAAAGCCCTCCTAAAATCTTTAACGAGCATCAGCTGATGTTTTATCTGAACTCTGACTGCTAGGGTATGGCGATGGCCATACTCTGCCATACGCAAACGCCATCCCTGTATCCATTCGTCTATCTATCTATCTAAGCTGCACTTATTTCAATAAAAAAAAAAAAAAAACAGTATATACAGATCATGTCAACATTGTGGTTCAAAGTGGATCAAAACCTCTCAAAGTTGTACATGAATTTTGACCAATAACCGCACTTGCCTTAGGTCAACTTTGATTAACTTTTTCGATCCACTTCAAATGTTTACTACTGCAGTTATATCGTAAAAGTTTACTGCCATTTAAAATATGTGTTTTCCATGTAAAGCTCTTTTCAGATGTAATTTATTGCTGTGATCAAAGCTGTATTTTCAGCATCATTACTCCAGTGTCACATGATCCTTCAGAAATCACTCTAATATGATGAGTTGTGGAATCCATGATAAAATTTTTGTTGTTTTTATTCAGCTAAGCGTTCAATTTATCAAATTTGACAGGAAAGACATTAAGAACACCAATATCAGTTTTCACAAAACTATTAAGCAGCAAAACCGTTTCCAACATTGTTAATAAGATCCATTGTTAATAATCATCATATTAGAGTGATTTCCGAAGGGTCATGCGACTCTGAAGACTTGAGTAATGATGCTGAACATCCAGCTTTGATCACAGGAAAAAACATACTTTAAGGTATTTTGTAATTTAATATTTCACTATTGCAGTTTTTACAGTATTTATGATCAAATAAATGCAGCCTTAAGGCCATTGCACACCGAGTCCGAAATTCGCATCCGAAATTTTCGCACGTTAAAAAAAAAATTCGACCTCACGTTAGTCAGTCACGCTTGCACACCGCCTCCGAAACTTTCGTCAGTCATAAAATTAATCGGATCGGGTTCGATTTTCTGCGTTTTTCGCATCCAGAGCCAGCATTTTGAGAGGTCTTTTGACAATTCAGGGCAGGGGGAGCTCGTCCTCAAATCATTGCACATATGCGCCGTGCTTTCAGTTTCGGTTTTCAATTCGATCAAGTGTTTATGTTCTCTTCTCTATATTGGATTATGAAATTAATAAACCCCCCCTTTCAATCAGATTGAAATTTAGGATCGAATAAGGTGTGATTGAGCAGCCTATTCGATAACTAATGTATTTGGGCACAATATATACACAATAACAGCTGTTCTGTCTGCCCAGCGCTTCCAACGGGCCGCGCGCGGGTGTGTGTTTGTCCGTGTGTGTGTGTGTCCATACCTGGTCCATTTCAGACACACTGCCAGTCTCCGTTCAGAATCGATTGGTTCACGGAAATTGGTGGTCTTGTTTTTAATATGTGGCTCCAGAATCGCTAGCAAAGCATCGAACTGCCCCACTGACATTCTGAGGTAAATTTTGAATCGCTCAGGATAAATCCGCAACTCCTTGATAAGGAACTCTCCTTCCTCTCGGCGCAATTTCAGGATTGGATGGACGTAATATTTTCTCTTTCTTCCCTTTTCAATAAGAGAGAGGGCAAAAATCATCCTCACTGCTTGACGAATCCATTTGGTATTTTTGCGTTTTTTCCCGCAAAGGTTTAAGAAATACGCAACGGACTCGGTGTGCAAGGTTTCTATGCGTGACGAATTTTTAAGCTGACGAACACGAAAATACGCATACGAAAATTTCGTGCTCGGTGTGCAATGGCCTTTACTGTGCGTTCACACCGGACGCGAATAGCGTAGCAAATTCGCACCTACCGCGTCTAGTAAAATGCTTGAACACTTTGAATCCATTCGCACGTCAAGAGGGAAATTGACACGTGTAAAAACAAAAGTTTGAAGTGAAATTTACGTGCGTCACAATCGAAACCCGTTGGCGGCCATCTTTTTTTATGTTGATCGAGCATTCATCGAGAGAGTCACCGCTCTGTATTTGCTTTGAGGAGCTTGAACAGCGGCCTGGGGATCATCGTCGCCGTATTTGTGTCCACCGGACCCTTCGGAGCCGAACCGTTTGGCGAGTTTCACCATTTGCTGGCTCCAGGAGCTGCGCTGGATGACGGCCGCTGTCAGCGGTACTGACAGCCAGTTTGATGACCTGTTGTCCCGCATGGCAGCACCCTTGCCCTCATCCACCTAATCTAGCTGTCATTTATTTTTGTTTTGATGATAAATAGAGCCAGCCTCAAAGTTATAACCTGTCGTGTGATTTTTTTTTTCTCTCACGTCCAGACACGAACTTATGCACATGTATGTTGGTTGTCTTTACATTAGGGGGCGAATTCGCATCAAACTTGCGAATGCACAAATAGCACTAACTAAATAATTTGCGCTTAATGCACCAAACGCTCAATTCAATTCACTCAATTCGTGCAAACTTGACGCGTGAATGAGGTGTATTCGCATCTACTGTGCCCAGGGTGCGATTTGTGAAAAAAACAGAGGTGGGGATGTTTTGAAAAAAAATTCATAAAAAAATTCATGAACTTCATCACTGCATTTGCAGGGAAAAAAAATTCTTAATAACTCATTAAGTATCCTAACGCAATATTTTTAATAGCTTCCCACACATATATGAACTGTGATCATGCACAACGAAAAAACATGCAATAATTAAATCAATAGATTAATAGGGTAGAGGCTAATTTATATCACCCTCTCCTGAACCAGGGATTGATTGCATAGTTAAACCACAATAGAAACAGTTTTACTGCTGCTGTTACGTTAAAGTTATAATGTTAACGTTACATCGCGATGCTGACCTACAGTGAAATGATAGAAAAGACAGATACATTATCTATGTTAGTTAATTCGCCTCATTTGCGTCGCAGAACCTCTAGACGCGCGTAAACGCGTCTTTACATTGAATTAACATTGAAATCACTCGCGCCAGATGTTCATGTGAGTGACTAATCAAAAAACCTTTGCTTTAGTCTCAGTTGAGTGAAACACTAGCCATGTTTCCATCCACTTGTCAATTGAATTATCTGAAATTCGGTTAAAAAACTCATGCGGATAAAGCTGGTGAAAGTGTGTTTCCATCCAACGGCTTTAAAGCGAATAAAAACCTGTACGTAATGACGTCGCATGCTGTTTTGCGATCAAATTGGTATATCGAATTGATTTGAGTCATTTTAAGGTGTTTCCATTTATTTTCGCACTGAATCTAACAACATTCAAGCAAACTTTTGCGAACAAAGTTTTGTTAGACAAAACGGATCGCGCCATCTACCAAAAATGATCAATATTTCACAAGTTGAAGGCTAATAATGCTTATGTGCCAGCTGATAGCGACATATGAATGGGATAATGTATGCGAGGCGGTTGTTGGTTGTATTCGCTATAACAACCGCCTCGCTATATATTATCCTGCTTATTAGCCTACATATAAATCAACCAAATAAATAAATAAATCAATAATTTGACACAAAATATTGACTTAAAAACGAGTTTATTGATTTAAAAACGAGTATTGCTTCTGCTAAAGAAAATAGTCTGTTCCGTCTCTGAACTGCGTCCATGGCAACGGTGTGTTATACTAGAAGCGCCGCAGTCTGTTAACTAGAAATAACAGACCACATTATACATTAGAATTTAACCAAGCCACGTAAAAACATGCAAAACTAACCTAAGAAAACAGCGACGCTATTAACATTGCTATGATGATGCCGATGCACGTATGCCTGACGACAGCGGAGGTGACTGTGGTTTGGGAACGACAGCGCTCCATCAGTTCTGGGAGATCGTGGTTCACGGAAACCCTTTGGTTGAAGCATCTTTTTGCTTTGTCCACTTACATCTGTCTTTGTTGACATCCGCCATGTGTGCGCAAACAGACTGGCCGGAAATGAACTCGTCTTCTGACGTGTTGCAACCATAAAAGGGCATAAAACTTAATCGCAATTCATTATTTATTCGGCAAATAACGTTTCCATCAGCTTTTATCGCATTAGCCGTATATCGATCAAGAGAAAATCCGATGAGACCGAACGCATTTCATTTGAGTCGATTTTCATGAAATTTCATCGAATTTTACTGTTTCCATAAGGCATTTTTCATTCGATATCACTTAATTCGGATAAAAACGTGTCGATGGAAACATGGCTACTGTGTGTATAACGGCCATTCTCAGTGACACTAGCTCTGCTTGTCATCATAGAAACAGAAAATCAGATTGTGATGTTTATTCTGAATAGCTATGCTGCCTTCATTTCTACAAGCAGCTCCACAGCCCAGCGCGGACCTTCAACCATCTCGCAAGTGTTGATAAGCTATTATACGAGGTGTAACCAATCAGATAGCGCCGTGGAAGGGACATTGAGCAAGTCTGCAGACTCGCGCAGAGCCAGCCAAAGTAGCGCATATAAAACTAAAATTAACTTTAATCAAAGCACGGATCCGTGATTCGTTTTCTGATCCGTCTCACCACTAGTGTAGGATCACTGATCACTTTGAGGGGGGGATAAAAATAATTAAGCAGAGGCAGGTATACATTGACCAGAAAGGGGGAAATCCCACGCATCCCCCCCGGCAAATCGCACCCTGACTGTGCCACGCTCTACGCCTCATTCGCGCCGCAGGAATTTTTGCGCACGCAACACGTCTTTGCATTGACTTGACATTGAAATCAGTCGTGCCTGACGCGCTATTCGCGTCTGGTGAGAACGCACCATTAGAGAGCAGAAGACACTTATAAAGGTTGTAAACGCTTAAAACAGGTAATTATTCCAAACTTCAGCCGGGAAGTGTAGCGCGTAATCACCCATTTTATGGTAGATGTCCTGAGCACTTCCTCGGACCACAGCCAGGTCCTCAAGAATCGCCTGGTGCCCTTCCTGCACTTCTGCCGTCTGATCCTTCAGCTGCCCACTGACGTTCTCTGCAAACGGGACACGGACATGATCTAGAACGGTCAACTATACCACATGACTGTGCAGAGAGCATTAACCAAGCCATTATGAATACAATTTAAACACGGATGCGGTGAGAATTCACAGGTCGTGTGCGTCTTTGACTGACCCATCCTCTGTGTGATGCCCTGGATTAACTGAGCCACCAGCTGCTGCCCGGTGCTGATGAGAGCCTTCTCCTGGGCCAGTCTCTGCAGGTTCTCGCTGATGGAGGAGTCCAGCTGCTCCTGGCCTTGCTTCAGGACCCCTTGCTGGAGCTGTAGGGCACTGTGACCCTCCAGAAGCCTGTCCAGGGACGCCGCGGTCATTTCCCTCAGCTCGTTCTGACCCTCCTGCAGATCGACACCAGCACAGAACCATTAAACACTCATCCAATAATCATCCATAATTTTCCAAAGGTAACCCAATAAGAATCAGATGGGATTAAAGCAGGAAAAAGTGATTTCACACATCTTATCTGTGAGGCCAATTCATACTGCACAAACACGTTTGTTGGGTTCTGTCTGATCCGTGTGTTACACCTGTTGACATTGGTCAGAGTAGGGCTGGGCGATAAAACGATAATTATCGCGATATAATTTTTCTCGATAAAACGATATCAAGAGGTCGATAAATGTTCGATAATGTTTATGCGCCAAAAGCGGAACGAAACTCATTTGAACCGCGCGCGCCACACGGAGCATTTATCCGCTCGGCTCAAAGTCCAAACGGCAGTGAGCGCAACGCGAGCTCGCTAGAGCAGACGCGATTGCTTTGATCGTCTCGCTCAAGACATCCAGCGAGAAGCGCTTGAGTTCAGCGAAGAACACAGATGTCAAGTTTAAACCAGTTTAGGGCAGATGAAACACCACTGACAAAAAGGAGAAACACTGCGTGCAACGATCCAGTCAGAATCTGAATTGATACTGAATCAATTTAGCCTACCATGGATTTACTGTAAGGTTAGCCAAGTAATATTAACTGCACCATGAAATGTGGGATATACATATTTAATTGTATAATATTATTAATGTAGACAATTCATTAAATGTCTTATGGAATATAAGTACAGCATTTAATAATGTATTTAACTGTTAGGCCACTGTTTTCATAGAAATACCACAGAAACCATAAAGTTACATTTTGCCATGATAGTGAGGTGCTGAGTTATATGCTATGCCTGGTTTTATCTGTGGTTATCATCTAAATGCATGAGACTGGATGACCAATGGTTAATTTTAATACAACTCAGTCAGAATATTACATTTTACCAAATAAAAATGTTACAGATGTTACGGTTTCTGTTAATGAACATAAATTTAACATTAGCTTAGTATTAGCTTGGGTTAGGATGCAGATTTACTGTCAACTCACTGTCAAATGTGCATTTTGAGATAAAACATGTAATTTTAATATTGCAGCCTGCACTGCAAACTGTGCTGAAGAAATATTTTTCTATTGAGATATTTATTTTAAGGAAAAATGTCTGAATGTTCTACCTCATATTTGTGAAATGTTCACCTGTTTGGCAAGTGTTTGTCATGATATGTTCTGACAATAGAGTAGTTTAAAGTAAAACCACAATTTACGCTCTGGGTAATACAACTTTCCCTTAGGAGCAAAAATCTGCCTTTAAACTAGAAATAAAGATTTGACGTATAGCGTGATAATTATCGATATCGACTGATATAAAAAAAAAAATATCGTGATAATTTTTTTTGGCCATATCGCCCAGCCCTAGGTCAGAGTTTGTTTTCAACACGTTCAATCAGTGTTTGAATATTGTTGAATAATTTTCTTAAGAATTCTAAAGCCCGGAACACACCAAGCCGACGCCAACGAACTAGCGCCGATGAAAGCCGACTGTGTTGTCGCCTCTTGTCCGCTCTCGAGGTAAATAAAGCTGCACTTGCACACCAAGAGAACTGCAGCCGACTGTCAGCTATAATGTGCATTCTGCGCCTGCGTGTAATGAGCCAACTGTCTCTTTCTGCAGATATATTAGTCTATATTAGTCATTCAAAACGAAATACAGATGCTGCCGGCTGCAGATACACACACCGTAAACAAAGCAGCGTGTGCTTACCGTTTTGAATATCAGTCCTGCTAAACAATTTAATTATCCACTCCGCTCATGTTAAAGGGTTAGTTCACCCAAAAATTAAAATGAAGCCATTAATTACTCACCCCCATGCTGTACCAACCCCGTAAGACCTTCGTTCATCTTCGGAACACTAATGAAGATATTTTTGATTAAATTTGAGAGCTGGATCACTGCTACATAGACTGCCTAAGGGACTGGCTCGTGACGGCCCATAAAGTCATTAAAGAAAATGTTTAAATATTCCATGTGCCTACAGCGGCTCAATTATAAGTTTATCAAGCGACGAGACTACTTTTGTGCGAAAAAAAACATAAATAACGACTTTATTCCACTATTCCATTACTTCCTTATGGGCGCATGCGCGAGAACGTTCTCATTCGTCTACTTCTTGTTACCGGCTGCTCACCGCTTAGGAGTTTTACCGCCCCCTACCGTATAAGATGATGTGCTGATATAGCTGGAAGCGCAAAACTTTCTGTTTACAAGCAGAGGAAGATGCGCGCTGTACATACGCTTTTTTTAATTAGTGCATTTTCCGCACTATAAGGTGCACTTAAAAGCCTTTAATCTTCTCAAAAAACGACAGTGTTCCTTATAATCCGGAGCGCTTTATATATGGATCATCATCTTATACAACTGAACAACCTTTCTTTGTAGGAGTACAATATGCTGACATGTTCACACCGAACCAACAGGCAGCAACAGCCTCTTCATCCAGTTGTGGGATCAGTGTGTAACACGTCTGTGTCAACGCTCGTTTGCACAGATTGACTCCGTCAGTCGGCGAAAACAAACGCCGACTAACAGAAACAGATGTTTGTCAGGTTGTGGAACATCTGAGAAATGACGTATTGTAATGTGTCGATTGTCTGTGTTGGTCAGTGGAGTGTAAATTGGCCTTCAGAATAAAATAAATTATACAAGTTATTCACAACACACCTTTAGATCTTTCATAGCATGCAGTTGACTAGTTGCGGTGGAAATCAGGGCGTTGACAGTTAGCTCCGCTCGCTTGCGAAAGTGTTGCTGGCGTGTGGCATAACACACGGCTCGCGCTCGGTTACTGACTATGTGATAGGCGTTCCATGTGTCCGAGTCCATGTCCGCTGTGCACTCCTTTAAAGTCTGCAGAGAGAGATAGAGAGAGATCCATTATTTATTTAACCACACAGCTAGAAATGCTTGTTTTGACTGGCAGAATGATAAGCATTTAAAGGAGAACTCCGCAAAATGAACCTTTGGTCTTATAACACATTGGTACCTAGTCGATCGTTCTCTGAGAAATGTTTTCATGATAATCGAATGTAAAGAGTTTTATCTATAAAAACTGTTTATAATGCTAGTATATGAATGCTAGTACATGAAGTAAAAATAAAATCTCTAGTTTATACCACTAACAAGGCTCAAAATAGCCCCACACTAACACAGTAACATAATGACGGTCCATACATACAAAACGAATTGAGAACTTTGTAAATGTACAGCCTGTTTACAGTTTTTGCATGTGTGGACCCTCTTTATGTTATTGTGTTAGTGTGAGGCTATTTTGAGCCTTGTTAGTGGTATAAACTAGCAATTTCTTTTTACTTATTATATGCCCCCATATAGTGTTATATGCTAAACAGTTTTTAGAGATACAACTCTTTACATTCGATTATCATGAGAACAAATCTCAGAGAACGGTCGACTAGGTACCGATGTGTTATTAGACCAAAGGTTCATTTTGCACTCCTTTAAAAAGGAAAACTCCGGTCAATTTTAACACTGAGCTAATTTTTTTGTACACTTGGAGTGCTGTCAGTACAGACAAAAACGACAAAAATTGGTGTTGCCTACACAGTGTTATCGTCTTTTTAAAATTCGCACCCTGTTGACTTCAATGGGGCAAGTTCTAAACCTGCTTTTAGCCTCTTAAAGGAGAACTCCGGCGAACAATGAACCTTTGGTCTAATAAAACATTGGTACCTAGTCAATCGTTATCTGATATTTGTTTTCTTGATAATCGAATGTAAAGAGTTTTATCTCTAAAAACTGTTTAGCGTATAACGCTAGTAATGGGGGCATTGACTAAGTAAAAAGAAATCGCTACTTTATACCACTAACAAGGCTCAAAATAGCCCCACACTAACACAGTAACATACTGAGGCTCCATACATGCAAAACGAAGCATTGAGAACTTTGTAAGTGTACAGACCGTTTAATAAGAAGATACTTTATGAAGACAGTTCACTTCGTGTATACAGACAGGAGCCATCTTAAAAAATAGTCTCGATAAGTCGATCCCCGAACGCGGTTCATACAGTTCAGAAGTTCGCTGAACTTCATACAGTTCAGATCACTCAGCACGTCGTTCGGGGATCGACTTATCGAGACTATTTTTTAAGATGGCTCCTGTCTGTATACGCGAAGTGAACTGTCTTCATAAAGTATCTTCTTATTAAACGGTCTGTACACTTACAAAGTTCTCAATGCTTCGTTTTGCATGTGTGGAGCCTCATTATGTTACTGCGTTAGTGCGGGGCTATTTTGAGCCTTGTTAGTGGTATAAACTAGCGATTTCTTTTACTTAGTCAATGCCCCCAGTACTAGCATTATACGCTAAACAGTTTTTAGAGATAAAACTCTTTACAATCGATTATCGTGAAAACAAATCTCAGAGAACGGTTGACCATGTACCGATGTTTTATTAGACCAAAGGTTCATTGTTCGCTGGAGTTCTCCTTTAATATCCTTGATTTGTCATTACAAGTGCGCAAGCCATGTGAGGGGTGTTATTAAGATTGACCACGGTCAATCCGACTGCAGTAGATGTGAAAGATATTAATAAAATGATGTTGAATCAGCCAGCGCACATACCTTTATTTGCTTCCTGTTTTCGGTCGAAGTCCACAGTAGTCGATTCCGGGTTCGTGCGCACGATCATTGGCATTTAAGCAATAACGCGCAAACCCGACAATCGACTACTGTGGACTTCGAACGAAAATAGGAAGCAAATAAAGGTATGTGCGCTGGCTGAATTAACATCATTTTTATTAATATCTTTCACATCTACTGCAGTCCGATTAAGAGTGACCATAGACAAAACCACCATTTACATGGCTTGTGCACTTGTAATGACAAAACAAGGATATTAAGAGACTAAAAGAGAGGTTTAGAATATGCCCCATTGAAGTCAACCGGGTGCGAATTTTCAAAAGACGATAACACTGTGTAGGCAACACCAATTTTTGTAGTTTTTGTCTGTACTGACAGCACTCCAAATGTACAAATAAATTAGCTCAATGTTAAAATTGACCAGAGTTCTCCTTTAAGTGAAAAACAGTCCAGCAGGTTCAGGAACATTGACCATACCATTTGTTCAGTGCAAGGGTAAGTCCTGCGCCCCTCCACCTCTGATTGGCAGTTGAACAAAGCCACGCCCAGTTTGGCCAACTGCTCTTCTGATAGGCCGCTGCAAGTCGCTTTGAGCTGAGCAACAACCTGTTAAAAAGCAGAATAAAGTACGTCTATGAGCAGGATATGAGCTTAAAGTCTGCATGAAGTGGCTTGATGAAGAGTGTTGGTGTATTCACGCATTTACGATTAAAAAAATAGGCTAGTTTGAAATCACCATTGATCACTGCAAGATGATGGTCTAATATGTTAATCTGACACGGGCCAAAAGAAGTATAATGCATGTCTTTATTAAATTAAAAAGGTATGGAAAATATGCATTTAGGAGAAAAATAAAACTTTGGGTGTCTTGTTCATCATCATTTAATTTTTATATCATATAAAAGTAGTAAGCAGCTTTTGAATGGAAGCTGTTTGTCATTTTTCTTTAAATGAAAATGATCTGAAAAATTAACTGTGCCCTACAAAATGTGCTATGTGATTATAAAATCAGTAAATGTATGAACAAGTGGCTGATTTCAGACGCAGCTTTAGCTTCTTTTTATATTGTTGGGGAGGAGACGCTCCAGATATTAGAGAGCATTTGATTGGACAATCTGATGAGAAGCTGAAGTGCAGAATGACAATTTTAATTTCATAATGAATTGCATGCATTCTTTATTAGCACTAAGCAACTATGGGTATGTTTACACGACAATGTACTAAAAATGGAACAGTTTTTCATTTGCGTTTTCACATACAGATGACAACATTGTCAAAACGGATCTGTGAAAATGAATAAAAACACTCTATTCATGCCAGCTTAGTAGTTGGCGATGTCACTTTGAAAGGAAATACTACACGCCTACACAAGCAGGCCTAATACGCATGTGCATGACGTCACTATTTTCACAAATTTTAGTTTTTTTTTTTTAATTTATACAGAGACGATAACGGTATAATTTTCAGACTTATACATTATATATTTAAGAATTGCACGTTGAAACCAGTTTTGTGCAAAATGTGCTTTAACCATAACACTCATTGAGAGTAGCCTAAAGCAAGGGTTTTCAATCTTTCAGATGCCGCACAGACACATGATCATCCTCATGCGAGGGTACCCCAATATAAGATTTACAAAGCAACTAATATATTTTTTATGTAAGACATTAATACTGTTAATCTAGCATTTCGAGATTAAACTATAAACGTTTCGAGAATAAAGTCAAAACATTACGATAATACAGTCTACCATAGAAGTGTGTGCATTCATAAGTGCGCGTCCACTGGCTCAGAGCATGCGTCTGTGCGTGTGTGTGTGTGTGTGTGTGTGTGTAAAGAAATGCACTTGTGAAGTCGAACTGCCATGGATCAACAAAAAATAATAGTTTTTTACTTTTATCTGGACTTTCAACAAAATCCTACACAGGTGCTAATGGCAGTGTTTGAGGTGTCGTGCTGGTCCAGGCAACATCTGGGTCCAAAACACAACAGTAACTGTTCTGTGTCCCTCTTCACCATAAATACATTCTGGATACATTTTAAGTGCATCATTCTGAATCCAATCGAGACGTTTTGGCTTCACTTTTGAGGGCTTGTGCGGCACGCTTGACAGACACACAGGTCCTTATCAAAAAATAGCATATTGTGAGAAATTTCATTCTTTTCCATAATGTAATGATAAAAATCAAACTTTCATATATTTTAGATTCATAGCACACCAACTGAAATATTTCAGGTCTTTTATTGTTTTAATACTGATGATTTTGGAATACAGCTCATGAAAAACCAAAATTCATGTCCCAAATGTAGCATATCATGAAAAGGCGAGCTATTAAAGGGTTAGTTCACCCAAAAATGAAAATTAAGTCATTAATTACTCACCCCCATGCTGTACCAACCCCGTAAGACCTTCGTTCGTCTTCGGAACACAAATGAAGATATCTTTGATTAAATTTGAGAGCTGTATAACTACCACATTGGCTCCTAAAGGACTGCCTCTTGACGGCCCAGAAAGTCAATGAAGAAAATGTTTAAATATCCCAAGTGACTACCGTGGCTCAACTATATGTTTATCAAGCGACGCGAATACTTTTTGTGCGAAAAAACAAACAAAAATAACCAGTTTATTCGACTATTTCTTTTCTTCCTTGTAGGGCAGAACGAGACTTCCTTAGATTTCCACGACGCATGCGCGAGAATTGCGATCTGAAGTAGTGTAAGCTGGTGTAAGCAGATCGCAATTCTCGCGCATGCGTCGTGGAAATCTAAGGAAGTCTCGTTCTGGCCTACAAGGAAGAAAAGAAATAGTCGAATAAACTCGTTATTTTTGTTTGTTTTTTCGCACAAAAAGTATTCGCGTCGCTTGATAAACATATAGTTGAGCCACGGTAGTCACTTGGGATATTTAAACATTTTCTTCATTGACTTTCTGGGCCGTCAAGAGGCAGTCCTTTAGGAGCCAATGTGGTAGTTATACAGCTCTCAAATTTAATCAAAGATATCTTCATTTGTGTTCCGAAGACGAACGAAGGTCTTACGGGGTTGGTACAGCATGGGGGTGAGTAATTAATGACTTAATTTTCATTTTTGGGTGAACTAACCCTTTAACCTAATCATCTGAATCAACTAATTAACTCTGAACACCTGCAAAAGATTCCTGAGGCTTTTAAAAAACTCCCAACCTGTTTCATTACTCAAAACCGCAATCATGGGTACGACTGCAGACCTGACTGCTGTCCAGAAGGCCATCATTGACACCCTCAAGTAAGAGGGTAAGACACAGAAAGAAATTTCTGAACAAATAGGCTGTTCCCAGAGTGCTGTATCAAGGCACCTCAGTGGGAAGTCTGTGGGAAGGAAAAAGTGTGGCAAAAAAACGCTGCACAATGAGAAGAGGCGACCGGACCCTGAGGAAGATTGTGGAGAAGGACCGATTCCAGACCTTGGGGGACCTGCGGAAGTAGTGGACTGAGTCTGGAGTAAAAACATCCAGAGCCACCATGCACTGGCGTCATGTGCAGGAAATGGGCTACAGGTGCCGCATTCCCCAGTTCAAGACACTTTTGAACCAGAAACAGCGGCAGAAGCGCCTGACCTGGGCTACAGAGAATCAGCACTTGACTGTTGCTCAGTGGTTGCATGTCATTCAGAAATCAAGGTGCCAGAGTCTGGAGGAAGACTGGGGAGAAGGAAATGCCAAAATGCCTGAAGTCTAGGGTTGGGTATCGGTTGGGTTTTATCCGATACCAGTACCTACTCGGTATTTGTTTAGCATGCTAACCAGGTGCCATTCTTTTGAATGCGGCTCTTCAGCTATCAGGATAACCATAAGCTACATTAGCATTGAGCTAGCTTAGCATGCTAATCGTGTTAACATGATTTTGTGTGCTTATTCTTATACTGAAGGCTCTCCTCTGCAGCTCAATTATTTGTGTCCTCTGTGTGGCGCAAGCTGCTAAACCACGCGTCATGAATCCCGAACCATTGCGGTCGTGGGTTTGAATCCTGTGTGACACATGCCCAGACCGCAAGAGGTACTGTGGCCTTAAGTGGTGGAAAATTTGTTTCATTTCTAGAAATGGTGTCGGTCTGAGAAAGGAATTCCAAATATAACATGCAGCAAATTTATATTTTAAAAAAAATCTTAATTTTGAGGTTATTTTCACTTGTACTACTGGCACAACAGTTTTCTTTTTTCAAATGTCTGAGTTGATGCTGCTTCCGGGCTTGGCCCCTGTATTGCTGCTTGCAGCTATATTTTTTAAATGGTTCCGGTGCCTAAACAACAGTACTTAAGAAAACGAAACCGCACACACTTTGGCAAAAAAATTATACCCCTTTATTTACAGGGCCAAACATGACACAATATGAACTTATAAATACAAGTAACATATGGTAATAATAAATAAACCAATATAAAATAAAAGTTCATATTTACATAGTATCAAATAAAACAATATTATATCAAACAATGTAATTATACTGGAGATTAATAGAGATTACTACCAGGGTAATATAATATCGACATGGCAACAGGTTCCCATGTTTTGTCTGCTTTAACTAGTCATGCAAGTTATCTTGTCATTTACTAGTTAAGCTCTTCGCCAGTTTGATATTTCGTTCCCACTGCGTCTTATACGCAGCTTTGAGTAAACATATGAAAGAGAATGTCTGTGTTCTCTGAATAGAGAACGATGCGCTGCGTTCGCTGCCAAATATATCGCGCTGCCGACAAGCTTCCTTTTTCGACGGAGAACTCTGAGGAACAGATGATGCGCGCGCCAATATAATATGACAACGTGAGCGTCAACGCGGCGCGAATGGGGATTCTATATCCATAGACAAGCGTTATTCTTTCTGACGCGTAATGTTTGGCTGCATTTCACGTGTGTTTAATCTCCTCGCTATCCAGCAGACGTTCCGGGAATCTCCCGCATATTGATAACGCCTCCCGGATGATCGCAAATTAGTTCAAATCTCCTGGAATCTAGAGCGAGCGAGCAAGAGCGCGCGTGCGAGACAGATCAGACAGTGCTTCAATAAACCGTATAGTGCGCTCACGTCGAAGAGGGAGAGAGCGAGAGACTGCGTGTGTGCACCTCATGCCATAGACTCAGGAATCGAAATCAGGCACCGAAGTTTTCATTCTTATTCGGTCTGGTTACTACCGTTTACGTCAGAACCGGTTCCCTATTGGAACCGATTTTCGGTACCCAACCCTACTGAAGTCCAGTGTCAAGTACCCACAGTCAGTGATGGTCTGGGGTCCACTGTGTTTTATCAAGGGCAGGGACAATGCAGCTAGCCATCAGGAGATTTTGGAGCACTTCATGCTTCCATCTGCTGAAAAGCTTTATGGAGATGAAGATTTCATTTTTCAGCACGACCTGGCACCTGCTCACAGTGCCAAAACCACTGGTAAATGGTTTACTCACCATGGTATTACTGTGCTCAATTGGCCTGCCAACTCTCCTGATCTGAACCCCATAAGCCCCTTTTCCACCAAAGCATTTTGAGAGCCGGTTCGGAGCCGTTGCCTGCACGCGAACCAGTTCTTTGTGTTTCGACAGCCAAAGAACCGATTCGCGGCCGGGAAAACTGGGGACATTAGTTTGGCTGTAATGAACAGCCACTTGCAAAATATTAAAACCAACTTGAAAAAGAATCGTGATAAAAAAAATCCTAAAAAAAATCGTGATATGATATTTTTTCCATATCGCCCACCCCTAAGACCAAATACAGGAATACTGGCTTCTAAACCTCAAAGAAATGCCATAATCAAGACCTCGGAGCAGAAATGAGTGAGAAAACACCTCACATGTGCCGCTCACAGTTTAGGAGTCTTTCCTTGCCATTAATGCTTGGATAACACGCTTAGGCCTACGTCTCGTTATCAGTAATAAATATAATAATGTCTAGTGTGGTGGCTCTGTGATATATTTTAACCTACCAACTTCCGTTGCCATGATTTTTGGAATGACTGATTGCGAGAGAGAAAAAATTACGTTTTAGTAAATTGCGCGAATCTGTGGTGGAGACGTGACAGCATTTAACATAGACTAACTTTTTAGAGTTATAGTGTTCATTATACTGACCATTAAACTCCGGATTGATTTCGGAGGAATAAGCACCGGCAAAAATCCGTCCTCCAACGCATGATCATGTTTTGATTCATATCGTGCTCAAAGAGGAGGGGCTATTCGCGTCTCTGTTGTCAGTTTGTGAGAGTGGGAATGAGGGAAGGAGCAAGCAGCGCACAGCTCTACAATAAAATAAAAAATACTGAAAATCAATTTGTGGCAGTCAGCGTTTGTTATTGTGGCGGGCCGCCACAAAATAATTAATGTATGGGAAACCTGGCAAAAGCAGTGCTTGCTTATCGTTTTGAATATCAATCCTGCTAAACACTTTATTCCACTCTGCTCATGTAATACTGAAATATTCGCCGAGGAACACTCAGGTAAGATGACATAACATAAGAACAGCCTTTTATCAGTATAGCGTTTTGACTTCTTTGCTCTCGGTTTTGCTATTAATCTCGTTTACGGACTCTCACTAAGCTGAATCAGCCTTGTTCAACTTGTTGAACTTCCAATTAGAGCCAATGATGCGGAACAAACCGGAAAAAAACGATGTCAGTTCAAATCCACTAACTAGGTTCAACTACTACATTCAAACCACTGAAACGTGACTTGAACAAGCTTGAACCTCATTGGTTCTTGCAAAAGCTCAAACGTGATGCGTCACACGAGAACGAACCTCATTGGTTCAAGGGAACATGCTTGAGCTTCTGTTTGCCACATCTGATCTGTGAGTTGATGAACTGTGTTAATGTTATGCGAGTAAAACAAATTAAATCTTTTCCTTGCATAAAGCGAGTCTCTTTGGAAAAATTTGGACTAAACCACTCAATTAATATGGGTCAGGTTCAATCTCCAAAATCACTTTTTATAACGTCAAAGTGGCAGTTGTGTGGCTGTCAATGGAGGATCTCAGACATATCTTCATTTGAGCTCCGAAGATGAAAGTCTTACGGGTTTGGGACAACATGAGGGTGAGTAAACAATGACATGATTTACATTTTTTTAGTGAAGTACTATTTTTGATCTGACAAATATGGTGACACACACACACACACTGATTATTATTTAGTGAAGAAATGCTGAATATGTTTTGTATGGTAAGACTAGTGCACACAGACTTACCCTGAAATGGCAGCTGTCCAGAGGACTGAGGTCCATCTGCTTTGCTTCAGCCAAAAACTTCTCATCAACAACACTGATTTCGAAGGCCGGGGTGTCTCCCTGCAGCAGGATCGAGGAGACCGGCTCTGGAGCAGGAGCAGGAGCTGGAGCTGGGTCTGGCTTCTTCAGCCAGTCAAAGAATGCTTCCACCTCACCGTACTGCATACTCAACACCCACAGCATCACGAACCAGAGACCCATCCTCAGAAATGACCCTGCACACATGTGTGGCATACTGAGCATTTGAAATCACCCTGTATCCTCAACTCTTATTGTTATTATGGCGACTTATTACAACAAAGAACAAGATGCATCAGAAAACCAGCCACTTCATTTTAAGTTTAAGTGTGCACCATTGGCATTTGGCAATATACTAGTGTAGCATTAGTTTAAGTGTGCACCATTACCAGTATACTAGTGTGGCATTAGTTTAAGTGTGCACCATTGGCATTTGGCAATATATAGTGTAGCATTAATTTAAGTGTGCACCATTACCAGTATACTAGTGTGACATTAAGTGTGCACCATTACCAGTATTCTAGTGTGGCATTAGTTTAAGTGTGCACCATTGGCATTTGGCAATATATAGTGTAGCATTAATTTTAGTGTGCACCATTACCAGTATACTAGTGTGTACTAGTGTGGCATTAGTTTAAGTGCACACCATTACCAGTATACTAGTGTGGCATTAGTTTAAGGTTGCGCCATTACCAGTATACTAGTGTGGCATTAGTTTAAGTGCACACCATTACCAGTATACTAGTGTGGCATTAGTTTAAGTGCACACCATTACCAGTAGACTAGTGTGGCATTAGTTTAAGGTTGCACCATTACCAGTATACTAGTGTGGCATTAGTTTAAGTGTGCACCATTACCAGTATACTAGTGTGACATTAGTTCAAGTGTGCACCATTACCAATATACTAGTGTGACATTTGTTTACCAGTAAGTGTGCACCATTACCAGTACACTAGTGTGGCATTAGTTTAAGTGTGCACCATTACCAGTATACTAGTGTGGCATTATTTCAAGTGTGCACCATTACCAGTATACTAGTAGTGTGACATTAGTTTAAGTGTGCACCATTACCAATATACTAGTGTGACATTTGTTTACCAGTAAGTGTGCACCATTACCAGTATACTAGTGTGGCATTATTTCAAGTGTGCACCATTACCAATATACTAGTGTGACAGTTTACCAATAAGTGTGCACCATTACCAGTACACTAGTGTGGCATTAGTTTAAGTGTGCACCATTACCAGCATACTAGTGTGGCATTAGTTCAAGTGTTCACCATTACCAGTACACTAGTGTGGCATTAGTTCAAGTGTTCACCATTACCAGTACACTAGTGTGGCATTATTTCAAGTGTGCACCATTACCAGTATACTAGTGTGGCATTATTTTAAGTGTGCACCATTACCAGTACACTAGTGTGGCATTAGTTTAAGTGCACACCATTACCAGTACACTAGTGTGGCATTAGTTTAAGTGTGCACCATTACCAGTACACTAGTGTGGCATCAGTTCAAGTGTTCACCATTACCAGTATACTAGTGTGGCATTAGATCAAGTGTTCACCATTACCAGTCTACTAGTATGGCATTAGTTCATGTGTGCACCATTACCAGTATACAAGTGTGACATTAGTTCAAGTGTGCACCATTACCAATATACTAGTGTGACATTTGTTTACCAGTAAGTGTGCACCATTACCAGTACACTAGTGTGGCATTAGTTTAAGTGTGCACCATTACCAGTATACTAGTGTGGCATTATTTCAAGTGTGCACCATTACCAGTATACTAGTGTGACATTAGTTTACCGGTAAGTGTGCACCATTACCAGTATACTAGTGTGACATTAGTTTACCGGTAAGTGTGCACCATTACCAGTATACTAGTGTGACATTAGTTTACTGGTAAGTGTGCACCATTACCAGTATACTAGTGTGACATTAGTTTACTGGTAAGTGTGCACCATTACCAGTATACTAGTGTGACATTAGTTTACCGGTAAGTGTGCACCATTACCAGTATACTAGTGTGACATTAGTTTACTGGTAAGTGTGCACCATTACCAGTATACTAGTGTGGCATTAGTTTAAGGGTGCAGTAGTGTAGTATTACTAAGTTAGTTTAAGTGTGCCTGTGCACCATTGTGTGTGTATACTGTGTAAGGCGCTGGGACAGTGGGATTGGAACATGCCCGGGCTTGGCTCTCACAGCTGACTGGAATCATAGACAGTGAATCGGGCAGTAAAAACGTTCAGATTGCACACATGATCTCACAAATACATGATCGTGCATTGTTGACTTTACAAACTGCATTGGACTTTAACAATCTGCGTGCTATTCGGAAATGCATGTTAGTTTAAGATATATATTCACATTTACGATTTAATTCAGATAACATTGACCGTCCGAAATAACACATTCTCTTGACTTACCTTAAAATGCGCCAGAGAGACTGCTCAATAAATCCTCAAATGAGATTAATCCATCAACCCTTGCGCAGAATTGTGAATAAAACTCTAAACGCTTTTGCTGGATTCAACTGTTTAAATGGACTCACATCAGCCAATAAGCGACAGCGTGATGCAAAAGAGGCATCGCGATATTTGGTGGGTAAAACGCGCGCGAGATTTGACGAGACTCTTGTGTTGTTGACTTTTTTTTTTTTTACAATATTTGGTTTTGACATGGCTCTGGTTTTGTCTAGTAAATGGGAGATTGTTTAAGTTAAAACAACAACAAAAGTTAGTTATACTGTCGTATGTATACGCGCCCATTATGTAAGAATAACTTGTAAGCTAACTTTAATTGTAAGGCGAATATATTTTGTTTGTAGCTTGTGGTCGTAGTGCAGCATTGGCCTGAACCAGTGTATGGACTAAACCAGTGTATGGACTGTCGCATGAACGTTACTGGTGTCTCTTCCGCATCTGCGATGGACAGTAAACCAGTTCCCGCGAGGCTCCTGCACGCTTCTCCCCCGTACGGACACATCATCACCCATGAGAAGTGGAGAGCATCGGCTCTGCTGCAGAGCTTTAAAGGTTGGCTTCACACAACTGTCTGAGACTTAAATAGTGGAAAAACGCTCTTAATATATTTTTGTCTTGCTAGCTATTTTTTTATTATTATTATTTTATTAGCAATTTATGTATCCTAGATGCATTTTATTCATACTAATTACGTAGGCTTGACAAAATTAGAGCTTTATTGGAAATGGCACATAAAAGTGTAACTTACTATATCTGACTTTACTCTCTATTACTGTCGGGATTGTGTTATTGTTTTCTTTCAGAATTCTGTTCCACATTATATTTGTTTACAATGTCTTAAAATTTAACCATTCACATTTGTGGTTTATTTTCATAATTTAAGATTTAAAAGTCTGGTTCTGGTTAAAACAATACAATTAAATGTACAATGTTAAGTAACCATACTTTTTACAGTGTTGTACACACACATGGTGCATTAAACTACAGTTTCAGTCTGTTAGTCCAGTAATAGTCTTGCTTGATCAAATATTATATGTACAAACAGTGTTTTACTTTATATTCGTGTGTGTTGTAATTTAGTCAAATTAGTATAATCACAGCTCTGGTCTAGTTTTGTGTGTATGTGTATGTGAGTGTGTGTGTGTGTGTGTGTGTGTGTGTGTGTGTGTGTGTGTGTGTGTGTGTGTGTGTGTGTGTGTGTGTGTGTGTGTGTGTGTGTCTTGGGGTTCTAGTAACGACTGTCTTGCAGGCAGTGTGATGATGATCTTTAAGGAGGAGCTGGTTGTTGTGTGTGTGTGTGTGTGTGTGTTTGTGTCTTTGTATTCTTGGGGTTCTAGTAATGACTGTCTTACAGGCAGTGTGAAGATGATCTTTGAGGAGGAGCTGGGTGGTGTGTGTGTGTGTGTGTGTGTCTTCTTTGGGGTCCAGTAACGGCTCTGTCTTGCAGGCAGTGTGAAGGTAATCTTTGAGGAGGAGCTTGGTGTTGTGGACTTCTGTCTCGCTGATAAGACCTGTGTCCTCTATGTATCGGAAAGTGATCTGGTGGCAGGAAACAGCTACAGGAGGAAGATCGTCCGGTTCAGAAATGTAAATAGCTGATTCAATCTGCTTTTTTCTGGTATTCAGAAATTGTACCTTTTTTCATAATTCTTATCATTTACATTTTAGAATAATTATTGGCAGTCAAACATTTGGTATATCTTTTTATGCTTTTGAAAGAAGTCTCTTCTGCTCACCAAGGCTGCATTTATTTGATCAAAAATAAAGTAAAATCTGTGAAATTTATTTCAATAAAAAATTACGATAAAAAAGTTTTTTCTATTTGAATTAAAATTAAAATTTATAGTTAAAGGTGTAATGTGTAATATTTCTGAGGCTCTATTGACAGAAATGCAATATACGATCCATAACTATGTGTTCAGTGTGTATAAAGAACTTACTCAATGAACTGTACTGTTTTTATTATCTTAGAATGGGACATTTATATCTACATAACCGTGGGCATCCCCTTCTATGAAGGTCGACATATTGTGACGTCATGTTTCTACCGTAGCCGACAGCGAACACACAGCGCTACAGAGCGCGTTTCGTCACTACTTTGAAAGAGAAGCCGCAGAAAGCTAGAAGCTAGCCTTACACTCCGTGAGTAGTGACTTTTCCCTTGTCAGAGGTGTAAAATATGTAGTTGGACTGTTTCATGTATCTTAGTTCTTCTCCCTCGCTGTGTTATGGCTTTGACAATCAGCTGATTAGTAATATATATTGACCGTAAAACAGCATTACAGGAATCACCAACCCGTCGATCGCGGAAGCATTTTAAGTCTATCGCGAAGAGAGAAAAAAAAATTATTTTTTATTCATTATTATTTATTAATTTGTGTGTAGTAAATGGTGTCTAGAGGATGCGGAGGCACACGCGCTGTTACAATCATGTCATTTTTGCCTTCTTGGCGTTCATGCAAACGTGTCGAGTTTAAACAAGGCTTTACACTTTAACCAGCTCAGACACAGTAACAGCTCATATTAGCCAGCTATACTTTGACTACCCTGTTAGAAAACATAGTTGCATAGTTTCATGTGGTTCTTCTCCCTCACTGTATTATGGGTTTGCTATGTGGGGAAAAATGAGCTGGTTACGTTTGTGAGACAATCAGCTGATTACTATTATTATATTATATTAAGACCCTTGATCCTCACCTGACTATGGCTTTGTAAACTTCATCCATGATGCGGTTTATAATGGACTGTGGTTCAGAAACAAGTGACAACGTTACACACTCGTGACTTACTCTGGCTATTCTCTGCTGTCTCAGCCAGACGATATGTTTGTCCCATTTGAGCCACCGTAGCTTCTTCGAAAGGGAGGGGTGAGCAGTGGACTGAGCCCTTAGTGTGACTCACAACCGAACCACTAGAACTCGCTAAAAAATACACACTGCAGCTTTAAGTGTAATTTATTCTCGTCATCAAAGATGAATCATCAGCATCATTGTCACATGATCATTCAGAAATATGATGATTTGATGCTCAAGAAACATTTCTGATTACTATCAATGTTGAAACCAATTGTGCCGGTTGATAATTTTTTGGAAACTGTATTTCACTACTATTCAAAAGTTTGGGGTAATTAAGATCTTGCAATATATATATATATATATATATATATACTTTTATTCAAATTGGATCCTTTAAACTGATTTTAAACTAAAGTCATTGATAATGTTACAGATTATATTTCAAATGAATGCTGTTATTATGAACTTTCTATTCATCAAAGAATAAAAAACAACAAAAACTGTTTGCAACTGATAATAAGAAACATTATTAATGATTAAGCACTAATAATAATTGATCATCAAATCATGATCATATCAGAATGATTTCAAAAGGATCATGTGACACTAAAGAAATGATGCTGAAAATGCAGCTTTGAGCACAGGAATAAATTACATTTTAAAATATATTCACATAGAAAACATTCATTTTGCATTGTAATGAGATTTCACAGCATTACTATTTAACTGTATTTATGATCAAATAAATGCAGCCTTGGTGAGTGGAAGAGACTTATTTCCAATCTAAAAGCAATATACATCTGAAACAATCTAAATTTTATTACAAACTTTTAAGTGGTAGTGTGTATGAATATAATTTTTGTTCAATCCTTTTGTTTGTCAGTCAGTGCTGCCCTCTAGAAGCTCCATATGATATGAACACGTCTGCCATAAGACAGAGTGATGATTTGTAAGGCTCTGCTCTACAGTGCTGTTATTCCTGCAGGCGAACAGCGGTCTCCAGGCTGTGGTGATCGTGGAAAAGACCCGTCTGAGCGAGCAGCACTTCAGCGAGCTGCAGAAGTTTGTGGTGTTGGAGCTGGGTCTGATTCTCCTGCCCGTGTCCACTGTTTCTGAAGCTGCTCAGCTCATCACGCAGCTGGTCAGTCAATAGCACTTCATTATCACTTTATTTCTCTATAGCATACTTTAAAGGGATAGTTCACTTTGAAATTATTTTTTATATGTTTTATCTTACCTCAAGGGCATCCAAGTAGGTGTCTTTGTTTCCACAGTATTTTCAATTTTGATATTGTTAGGTCAAACCGTTCTTGTCTGTCAGTCATATAATGGAGGTCTATGGTCACCACCTCAAAGAGCATGCACAGAGAAGTCCAAATTAAACATGATTTAATAACTCGTAAATGTAAGTACACATTAATGGCCTAAGACACGAAACGAGCGGTTTGTGTGAGAAAACGAACAGTATTTATATCGTTTTTACCTCTTGTAATCACAGCCACGTCCAAGTGATCTGAAGGCACGGGCGCTTCGGTCTGCGCAAGCGCCGGAAAGCGTCGGAAGTGATCTCTTGCGCAGCTGTGAAAAAAAAAAAAAATCTACGTTGTCTGTTGATATATCGAAATCGTCTTCCATTGCGCTTTCCTGTATATCTAAATATGTTTAGATCTTCACAGTGAAGGGTAACACTTCTGAAATCTCTGTGTAAACAATGAGTGACGTACACACGCAAGCGATCACTTCCGGAGCTTGCGCAGACCGAAGCACCCGCGCCCTCAGAGTACTTGGACGTGACTGTGATTACAAGAGGTAAAAACGATATAAATACTGTTAGTTTTCTCACACAAACCGTTCGTTTCGTGTCTCAGGCCATCAATGTGTACTTACATTGACCATAGACCTCCATTATATGACTGACAGACAACAACGGTTTGACCTAAAAATATCAAAATTGAAAATACTATGGAAACAAAGACACCTACATCTTGGATGCCCTTATGGTAAGATAAAACATATCAACAATTAATTTCAAAGTGAACTATCCCTTTAACATGCATATTAGACTCTTTTACGTATAGCATCATGCAGTAGCTGTGGAATCAGCAGGATAGTGCACACTCAGCCGTTTTTTTTTTTTTTTTTTGCATAAATAAACTCTGATATCCCTTATTTTGAATAACATCCAAAACATTTTTGCAAAGCCATAACTTCACACATCATCACATAGGAATGTCATGCAACATGATGTAGTTTCAGTGCTGTTCAGAAGGCATTTGTCCTCCGTAGGTTCTCGGGGAGAACAAGGAGAACCCGTTCCGCAGGAAAAGTGCGTCCAGGCTGCTGGAGCCGGTGGTGTTGAGTCTGGTTCAGCAGATTCCCGGAGTTGGAAAGGTGAAGGCCATGTTGCTCCTTCAGAAGTTTCCCAGCATCCATCAGCTCAGCGAGGCTTCAGTCCATGAACTAGAGCCCATAGTGGGCCAGGCCACAGCCCAGCAGATCACAGCCTTCTTCCACAACCAGTTCACATAGAAATGCAGGCTTCTCGAGCTGCTGTTCGGAAGTAAGAAAATAAACACCATTTAAGCAGATTTTAAACTTGCCTTGGATTTAATTGCACTAACATTTTCAATTAATTTCTACAAAACAGTCATTGTTCATGAAATAGTCAAATTCACAATAATATTGGCTAGTTTGAATTTTGCCACACATTATATCAATTTCTGCATTTGACAAAAGGTGGCGCTGAAGACTCAGTTGCATCTACTTTGTTCTTCACCCCATTTCAGTGTGAGCTGCTGGTCTACTTTTTTTCTCTTAATTATTTTTTTTACCTGTATGAGTTACATAAAAACATCATCACATAAACTTTTTTCCAGAAACATTAGATGATAACAATATTTCATTTTGTTCATGGTACAGTAGGGCCTAAAATAGCGAATTAAGTGCCAATAGCATTTTCAAACAAACTCGATCTTGCTTTGCAAAGAAAAACTCAACTCGCTAACAAACTCGATCTGCTTTGCAAAGGAAAATTCGACTTGCAGACAAACAGAAAGCAATTTGCAAAAACAAAGGTCAATTTCAGCGAAAATGCTGTGGATTAACCAGTAGCCTATTGTGTTTTACAAATATAAATAAATGAGCCTAGATAATAGGCTATTTCACAAATAAACACAAACCATCCAACAAATTGAATGCAACCTTTGAACAAATACCAAATCTAGTGCATACAAATGCATATCTGTCTGTGCATATCCGATTGTGAGATCTCTCGGCTCGATTTTTCTCACAAATGTGTCCGGGCAGATTTTCTCACAAATGCAGATAAGTAACTTCTCTTCTAAAACAGCAGATGGCGTTAAAATAGGGATTTAGCGCTAGTCTCCCTGGAGATGCACTGATTTGAAACGCGCTTGCCTTTGCCTAGCTGAGGACAAAAGCTTCTGTCTTACTTTATTTATAATAAACATCTTAAGGTTTTCTTTTGCGAAATAGTTATTGCATATCTAGACAGAAATCCACATTAGCACTTAGTAACGCTTCTCTCCAGGGCCAAGGGCATTCATGGGCCATTCCAAACCTCCCTTCCTCCCCTTCCCGCTGAACACGAACCGTAACAAATGCGTGAAATGCACGTACGGTGGTTGAGCGCGGTAAAGTTAGGTTCGGTATTTCCCTTTCCACTGTTTTATGATTGGCAGTCTTAAAAAGATATCAATAGCAGGATTAGTTTTAACAGTATGTAATTGTATATCGACATTAAATATTAATTCAATATCACGTGCGCTAATGCTTGGACAGGAATGTCTGGCAATTCCACCAAAATGCGGTAAACGTAGCCTATAATTTATTATTTAAAAGTAATACAAAGACATTTTCAATTTCCAAAGCTTGTAAAAATGTTAGCTAGTAAGACTGACTTACTACAGGTGAAATTGTGCCAATACCTCACCTCATGTATTTACAGTGCACAATTATTTTTATATATTTATTTTTATAAAGGGTTTTTGGTGACTTACTACAGGTGAGATTTTGCATTATTCTCCTGTAGTAAGTCAAGCCTGTTAGCATAGGAACGTAGCCTACAAGCATGCTGTAGCCAGCTATGAGGTCAGACTCTTATCTGGACATCTTTATTTTTTAGTGGTGTTGTTAATCATAAAGACCATTTAATCATAAAATTACTAAAATGCATTTCCTCATGATTTCATGATTTCATATTTTACGATAGGGATTTCATAATATCTAATAAATTTCAAAGCAAAATGTGTGAAAGAAAAAAAGCTAATGTTTTGGAAAATAAGTCGGCAACACTTTATTTTGATAGTCCACTTTATACATCCAACTAACTATAAGTAACTTTGCCGCTACATGTCAACTAACTGTCATTAGAGTATTAGTAGACTGTCTGCTTAATATCTGCTAACACTTTATTTTGTTGGTCGCCCAACAGATATTCTACTGACTTAGCAACTACAAGTCAACTTGTTCTCCTAACCTGAACCCTAACACCTAACCCTAACCTAACAGATACCGACAGTTTACTACAGCCTACTAATACTGATGCCATCTACTGGTTCTAGTGGTAATTTAATGTCTTTTTTTATTTTAAAATAAAAGCATTTGCTTCTTGTTAGTTCCCTTTCGAAAGGCACTGCGTCTATGGCACTATTTGGGAACGCCCACCGCATAAAACCACGCCAATCGTCATTTGCGATTTCTCCAATTGTCCAATTTGTCTGATTTGCAATCGCCTGAAAAAAGTAAGAGCAATTATGTCAAGTGATAAGCATTTCAAGAAGTTTGTGGATCTGTGTCTCAGGTTTCTGACACCAGATGACGCACACAACTTCTGCGTTTACTGTTTGGGCGATGAGCACGCACGATCAGCTCTTGAGGGATCTGATTAGCCGCTTTCCGACCAAGTAGTTTCAGGAACTTAGTTACAGGAACTGTCCACTTTTAAACAGTTCTAAGAACTACTCTCCCCCAAACTCGGTTTTGCTGCTTGCGTTCGCACTGGCCAAGTGACCATAGGAACTGGTAGGAGGGGTAACGCAAGCATGGCGACGCTCTTTATCACTAGACGTAGCGCGGCCACATACAACAACAACACACCAGCATGGAGGAGGCTATTATTGCAATGTTCCTGTTCTGCCTTGCCCGGACCTTAATAACGGAGAACGAACGGCGGCGTTTAAAGATTATGCTTGAGTTCTGTAAGTTACAGAGAAACACAGAAGACGAAGGCTCCAGCGTAATATGATATTAAGTAATATGACAAAAGAAGATAAAAGAGCAGAGTGCAGGAGGCAAACAAAACGACGGGTAAGTTTAGCTAGCATTAGCAATTAGCTGGTTGAATGCGTTATGTTTGTCTTAATCCTCGTTGTAATGTTTTGCAAAAAGACACCGGCAGACAGCGCGCTACAAGTTCCGTGTTGACAGTGGGCATGACGTATAAGTTGAACCAATCAACGTAGACCTAGGGAAAGGGAACTAAAAAAGTCCTCGCTCTAGACTAGGTACTGAAAGAGTTATAGGAACTACGGTCTGTGGAACTAAAAAATCCCCAATTTAGTCCGGTCGGAACACGAGAAAAAAGGGTTATAAGAACGTTAGATTCTAGGAACTGCAAAAGTCCCTCCGGTCGGAAAGCGGCTTTTGTGAAGAATTTGAGAGGTTTCCTCTAAGAAATCACACTCCGCTCTCATCTGGCCCTCTTTTCGAGGGAAGAGGGACAGACATCTGGTGCAGGCGATTCAGCTCCCGCTCGTGCTGAGGTGGAGCAGAGACTACTGTAGAATCGTGGGTTTTCAGAGGGAGGTCGCAGAGGAGTTTATGTGAGGTGTTAATCTCTCACTTCTCTCGAAGGTTCGCAAGTTTGAGCTGCTGGATGAGGATGTGTTGTCACTAGCATGCTGGCACCCCAAGAAAGCAGGAGATGCCTGATGAGGGTGAAGAGGATTTACAACCTGAACCCTCACAGCCACCCTGCCCCGCGTATGATGAGTTGTGAGATTAATGGAACGCGCTCAGCGAGGCTTTGCTGCCTTTGGAGTGCTCGTGGCAGACTTTAAAAACGGTTTCTTCCCAGCCGTAACGCTCCAGCCCCCGTGAGCCTTCCATTCCTGCCCGATCTATACAATAGATTGAAAAGGCATGGAAGAACTCGTGTTCAGAGCACATCCATCAGCGAGCAAACTACCCTGATGTTGAGGTGATGCGTGAACACGGGTCTCAATTGTGTCGATGCCTCAATTGACGAGAGGTTTTTTGAACGGTTGGAGAGGCATTGACACTAAGTGCTATGGCTCTGCCATTTAAACAAACATAGCGCTTAAAAGGAAGGGCATACGCGATGCCGGATCTGGCTGGTGATGCCTTGCACACAATGGCTGTGTTGCAAGCATACCACGCTGATCTGCTGAAAGATTTGGACCAAGGTCGTGGTCTTTCCCCTGACGCAGTGAAAAGAAGCTGTGCCGCACTACAGATAAGCTCTCTGGGCCATGATGGTGGCGATGATTGTGGCCAGGGAAAGGTATCTGTGGTTGAATTTGGATGACATTGGAGCTTTTCTTCTCGATGCACCAGTGAACTTTTCGGCACCTCCGTTGACACGGTGAAGGGAGAGAGGTGAAGGCGCGCTCAACTGCATTAAAGGGTTACCCTAAAATGAAAATTAAGTCATTAATTACTCACCCCCATGCTGTACCAACCCCGTAAGACATTCGTTTGTCTTCGGAACACAAATAAAGATATTTTTGATTGAATCTGAGAGCTGGATCAGTCCTACATAGACTGCCCAAGGGACTGGCTCTTGACGGCCCATAAAGTCATTAAAGAAAAGGTTTAAATATTCCATGTGCCTACAGTGGCTCAATTATAAGTTTATCAAGCAACGAGACTACTTTTTGTGTGAAAAAAACATAAATAACGACTTTATTCGACTATTCTATAACTTCCTTATGGGCGCATGCGCGAGAACTGAGACGAGGACGTTCTCCTTCGACTACTTTTTGTTACCGGCTGCTCACCGCTTAGGAGTATTACCACCACCTACCGTATAAAATGATGATCCATATATAAGGCGCTCCGGATTATAAGGAACACTGTCGTTTTTTTGAGAAGATTAAAGGCTTTTAAGTGCACCTTATAGTGTGGAAAATACGCTAATTGAAAAGCGTATGTACAGCGCGCATCTTCCTCTGCTTGTAAACAAAAAGTTTTGCGCTTCCAGCTATATCAGCACATCATCTTATACGGTAGGTGGAGGTAAAACTCCTAAGCGGTGAGCAGCCGGTAACAAGTCGAAGGAGAACGTCCTCGTCTCAGTTCTCGCGCATGAGCCCATAAGGAAGTAATAGAATAGTCTAATAAAGTCGTTATTTAGGGGTTTTTTTGCACAAAAAGTAGTTTTGTCGCTTGATAAACTTATAATTGAGCCGCTGTAGGCACATGGAATATTTAAATCTTTTCTTTAATGACTTTATGGGCCGTCAAGAGCCAGTCCCTTGGGCAGTCTATGTAGGACTGATCCAGCTCTCAGATTCAATC